AGGTGAATACTGTGTACACATGTATGTAAATGAAAAAATGAGATCCATTGAAACTATTCCAGGAATGGGAGGAGAGAGGGTAAAGGAGAATGATGAAAGGGGTGAACTTAAGTATGATATATTTGATATAGTGTAAGAACTTTTGTAAGTGCTACAATGTACCCCCAGCAACAACCCCAACAACAATAAAAAAAAATTAATACCCCGCCACAAACAAAAAAGCACAAGGGAAAAATATATTAACTATGTAATAGCTCTGTGGCATATATGAAATGAGTTAATATTAAAAAAGCACTTGCTTAATCCAGTAAATTTAAGACATGCTAACTATTGTATTCCTCACCATCAAATCAAACATTCTTACAGCATTTAATGTATCCCCACTCACCCACTGGATATTATTGGTGTCCAGGTGCATCGGGTACTGTGGGAGAGAAATAAAAATATCTAAGTCAATGTCCTTACCTCCTGCAATTTGTGGCATAGTCCAGAAGTATAAACAATACATGTATGTGCATAGTAATTAGTGAAAGGCAAAACTCAGTGCTATAAAAACAACAAAAGTTAAGTATAAGGAGGAGGAGAAGGACTTTCTCATTCCCACCTAAAGACATTTGGGAAGTGCATCTGAGGCCATATAAATTACTAGCCAAGGCTGGCAGTCTAGGGGTGCTGTATGGAACAAAGGCAACCACCATTGGGACCAAGAAGTCCACCATCTCCATGCCTATCCCTCCTGCCTCCTCCAGCCTATCCTCAGCCAAGCAGGCTCAAAAACTTATTTTGTCATCAAATGAAGAATGGACACATTTTTAATTGCCTGAATACAGCCCTGTTGAGTTTAATCTCCTCAGTCATTTGAGCGTCCTTCTCTCTATGGTCAATAGTAGTCAGCCAGCATCACCTCATTCCTGATCCCCTGCAAGTGCCTCCTGGCCAACGCTGCCTGTTCTCTGGACTGTCCCCACTGCATCCTCCTCAGCAAAGCCCAAGTACTTCTCCTATCATGGGCCCCTTGCTGGATGCTCAGGGCTCTTCAGCACCCCTTCAGCTTGCCAGCCTCATCTTTCCTCACTAGTACCGATCGCCCACTGCCTGGCTCTGTGACCCTTGGGGTCCAGGGCCTCCTCACATATGCTCCAATCCACCTTCACTCTGGGTCAAGCAGTCCTCACTCACCTTCACCCACTCACCTTTCAGGACATACCTGAAAATCACCTCCTCAGGAAGTTTCTGGGGAGCCTTGAAAAAAGTCAGAACTCTGGTGGGGCACTTTCCGATGGCAACCCTCCTTGTTCCTTCCCTCATCTTTACCTGCTGTAATTGTCCACTTATTTGTGTAATTAACACTCTCTGTAAGCCCCACAAGGGCAAAGACTGTGTGGTCTTGTGTCCACCGTCATACCTTCAGTTGTTAACATAGTGCCAGACACATAGAAGTCCTGAATATGTAGTAAATGGATAAAATAAGTGACCAATGAGTATTTCACACTGCTGAAGAGCACAAGGGTGGATATAAATACGTGCAGAGGCACATTGAATGGTACTGTCCTTGCAGTGGCATGAGGGGACTTTTGAGGAACGGTCTTTGAGCCAGGTTCCTTTCACTGGCAATCAATCTGCATTAGCTTTAAGACTTTTCATCATGGGAGCTAAGTTTTGCCAAGAGTGGAAACCTGACACCAGATAGGCTTTACAGGAGCACATCCATCCATGCTGGGATGTGGTGCATGTCTGGTTTCAGATACTCTTAAGAAAGCCCTTGTGGCCCAGAGTAGAATCACTCCACCATTCTTTCCAAATCCTACTTTGTCCAATGCTTCCCTTGCATAGGGTCAGCTGGCCTGTAGAGCAAAGGGCCTGGCCTTTTGCTCTCATTTCATGAGTGTCATCAGCACCAGCACACACACACTCTGGACACCCTGAAGGGAGATGGTCCACTTGCCTGTAATGATCCAGCTCCAGAATTTGCCCATCCTGCCCCTACATTCTAGAGAAGCTGACCACACCTGGCAGGGCACAGCTACAAGGTGTGAGTCTCTAGAAGACAGCAGCATTCTATCAGGATGCTCCTAGAGACACACCTGGCTCCGATGTGTGATTTGCTGGATCAGAAAATCAGCACTTTCTCCACTCTCTATACAGCACTTGGGAGCCAGGCTCTCTGGAACTGGCATTCTGGAATCACAGCAAAATGAGGGTTGGGCTTGTGCGCTGCCTCTCAGCCCACGTTGGCCTCCATGAAATTGGCCTGACCAAAGAAATTTGAGGGTCCATGTCCAATAGAGCCAAGTATACCACCCCTGGCCTGTGAGGGGAAGGGCCTGACTTGTCTTCCATATTCTGGATAGATGTATCTTTGTCTGGGCTTCCCACCAATCTCCATCTGCTGGCATTGCTCTCCACCCTCCCCTGTGGCCCTGGAGGCCATCTCTGTCTTTGCACGAGTTTGCCTGCTCTGCTCCATCTCTTAGCTTTGGATGTTTGGTCCCACTTGCAGAGAACAAGCAAGCACCTATTTTCTAACTTCTTGGAGGACAGATGTCCACACCAAGCACCTACTTCTCTTTCTTTATCTCTCAGCTCTGCCTTTTCTACTTGGATTCCCCCTCAGAAAGTCTTTCTTCAAGAAAGGTTTTCTCTTACAACTCCAGGATCACACTGTACCAGTTCATCACATCCTTAATAGGTCATTTTAGGGTTACCAGATTTAGAAAATATTTGGGATGCATTTTTATTAAAAAGTTCTTCACTATGAATTTGAAATTCAAATTTATCTGGGCATCTTATATTTTATCTGGAAACCCTAAATCCAGAATAGGTCCTAGGATTGAATCTGGGCATTAGATCATGTTCTGAAACATAGTCCCAGTGACCAGGAGAATGGACTATGCCAAGTTGGGGTCACCTGCCTGTTCCTGGGACAGCCCCATACTCCACATGTGCCTGTATTGGGAAACAGGGTTACCCCAATAATCAAGAGCTGGCCATAGAAGAAAGGGGAATGAACTCTGCCCAGGCAAAAACACCAAATGCTCACCACTATGGTGACCTAGAACATTCCAGACAATAGTGAACATTAGAAAACTCCCAGGTGCTCAACAACACACAAAGGCCTACAAGCAACTCAGGCCATTTATTTGTTCTTTGCAGGTACTATAAGTGTGACTGTTTTTGTTGTTGTTTTTGGCAGAACTGGGGTTTGAACTCACACTTGCTAGGCAGGTGCCCCACCACTTGAGCCACTCTGCTAGCCCTGCAGGTATTGCGATTATTCTCTATGTTAACTGTATTAGAGCACCACAGACTGGTGGGCTTAAACAACAGAATTGTATTTTGGATGGGGAGGTTGGAAGCTTGAGGTGTCTATCTGCAGGGGTGTTTTCCTTCTGAGGCCTCTCTCCATGGCTTTCAAATGGAGCCTTCTCCTGTATCCTTATGTGGTCCTTCTTCTGTGTTCATCCGTCTGTGCTCTAATTGTCTCTTCTTACAGGGACACCAGTCTGTCGGAATAAGGCTCACCCTTGTGGCTTCATTTTAACTTAATTACTTCTTTAAAGACTCTTAGCTCCAATTACAGTTACATTGTGAAGTGCTGGGAGTTAGAAAGTCAGCATAAGAATGGGAAAGGGAGCTCAATCCAGCCTGTGGCGTACCTTATCTCCTTTAGTTTTTTTCATGTAAGGAACAGGATGCTGAGCGTGAATGTGGCATGTCCAGAACTCCAGGGCTGATTAGTGGTGAAACTCCAAGCAGAGGTATGCCTTGCTGTCCTGCCTCTGCTGTCACCTGTAGCCACAGTCACTAAGCTACCTTCCTGGAGTACTCACAGCAAATCCACCCTTGTTCCAGAGCACCCAGCACAGGCCAGACATTCTTTCTCTTTTTTTGTTTTTCTGGCAGTACTGGCCAAGTCCCTCAGCCCTTTCTGCTTTATTCTATTTCAGACAGGGTCTCGTGCTTTTTGCCCTGCTGGTCTCAGACCAGACCCTCCAAACTATACCTCCTGTCTAGCTTGGATTACAGGCATCCACCACCACATCCAGCCTCAAACATCCTTGAAATTCAGTGTTTCTTCAAAAAAATGGGATGGGGGGGAATCCTTCTAAACAGTTTGAAGAGATTTAACTAAAAGGAAAGGGGGACAGGCACCCAAGTTCATGATTTGAAGCAATAAAGACTCTTTGGAACGCAAAAATGATGAGGCCTATGGATGTGTAAATGAGCCCAGGGAAGAACTCATCAGAGGATAAATTACAAAACAGAAAAAGACTGAAACAAGTGGGGAAGAACAGTGAATATTTCAGTGTCTTTCGTTCATAAGAAATTCATGAGCAACGTGTGCTGGAAATTTTGTTGGTTTTGCTGGTGGGAGAGGATTGTAAATATGTATAATATGTAAATACCTTTTATAATAAAAGCCCATGAAGATAAATGAGGCTGTCTGTGGGAAAGCTGTGAGCCATATCTGATGTTAATATAACTGTCATCACTCTAGAAATTACCATAATGCTTACAGGGCTTTGAAAGTTCTTGGGCTTTGGAAAGAAATGCATAATACTAACCCGAAAACACACACACGCTTGTCCCTCTTTTTTCTTTTTTTTCCCCCCCTTTCTTTCTCTTTTTTTAATTTCTTCTTTAAGTGAAAAAGATAGCCTTGCCCAGCCTCGCCTCCAGCAGAAAAGTTTTAGGGCTGGATCTATAGGGGTTCCAATATGACTTCCTTCCACCCCCAGGGGCCGTGCTCCCTTGCAAGTCACCCAGGCCCTCGGGCCTGGCTTTCCCCGCCAGTGACCTGGGGACGCGGTCACCTGCACTGGCCGCGGTGCGGAGGTCTGGGTGCCACAGCAAAGGCGGAAGCCACGGCCCTGTCGGGTGCGCGCCAGCCCGGGCCGCGCGAGGCCGGCTGGGGACCCGGACTGACGCGCGGGGCGGCCGGGTGACAGCGGAGGAAAGAGGAGGGAGGGAGGCCCGGCCGCCTCCCCGCCCCGCCCCAGAGGCTCCGAGCCATGGCGGCCGCGGCGGGGCCCTGGGCGCGCGGCCTGTGGCGCGCCTGCAACGGGCTCATGGCGGCCTTCTTCGCGCTGGCCGCCTACGTGCAGGTCAGCGGGGCGGGCGGCGAGCGGGACCCCAGGCCTGGCGGTGGGGCGGACTCGCCAGCCGAGGGCCGCAGAGGCTCCGGGGAGGTGTCCGGGGAGGACAAGAGGTGAGGCGATCTTTAGGGAACCCCCAGTGTCGCCCACCGAAGACGCAGACATGTTCGTGTAAGCCGAGCCACAATCCCGAGAGCCTGGCCCCGCGGCCTCGCGTTCAAAGGCTGGCGGGAGATGGTTCGGTGCGGGTCACTTGGAAAGGAGGAGTGGCTCTGGCGTCCTTCACACCGTTTAGCCTCGGGGAGACTGAACAGGATTCAGGGCCTGGGAGGAGGAAGCAGAACAAAATCCTTGGAGCACCATCATCCTAGCTAGTCTGCTTTAGGATCGTCCTCTTTTTGTAAGACTGTGGTGGTGGGGGGCGAGGCCTTAAAATCCCCATCCTAGGTTTGGCTCGCCCTCTTCAGAGTTCCCATGTTCTTTTTCAAAAACGTGTGGGTGAGGGTTAGAACCACCTGCTGCATTCAGCCAGGAGCTCCTTCAGCCGTCCCAATGGGCTAGACTATGCCTTGTATTTTGAACCCTCAGTGCAGCGTCTGACTCTTAGCGAATGAATAAAAGAGCAAACAAACATAGGAATGGAACAGGACAGTCGTCTGCTAACACCGTGATGTCTTGACGTTCCAGGTCAATGATCCAGACGCAGAACTGTGGGTGGTGAGTATGAGCTACTTTCACAATTTTCCTCCATTGTGTACCTGCACAAAACACATGGTTTTACCTATTTGCCTCTCTTCCCTGCTTCATTTACTTTAAAACGTAGAAAGAGCTTAGTAAGCTCTTTTTCCTACATATCTTCTTGGGAGGGGGAAATCAGTATGACAATGTGGTATGTGTGTGTAAATTTTGATCTTTCCAGTGAGAGAACAGTAGCAGCCACCTTAATTACACTAGACTTGCCTGTCATTTTCTAAGTGCCTACAATGCGCTAATCGCCTAACATGCATCATTACTAACCTTTACCACAACCATCCAAAGGATGTATGTAGTTATATGCAAATACTTCAGCATCCACTGCATTTGGTGAGACAGTCCTGGAACCGATCGTCCATGGATACCAAGGACAGATGTGTTCCCTTCGAAATTCAAAGATGGTCTGAGGACACTGTTCTTGAGGAGCTAGAGAAGACCTGTCAAGATCACCCAAACCTTCCCCATGAGTTTCTAGGTAGAAACTCTAGCAGACATTTTGGGGGAATGGTAGGCTTAAGGTCTGTGGTTCTGCTAATCTCATGAAGCCCACAAAACCTACAGTATTCATCTAACCCATGCTCTGACTTGAACCCTTTGGAGGAGGGGGAGATCAATCCATTATTTCTTGAGACATTTGAATTTTGCCCAATTTCTTTCAATACAGATGCACGAGACTGTATAATGTTACCACGAAGATGATTCTTAGGCTTTGGGGTAATGCTGGCCATTATCCCAGATGGGCAACAAGTGAAAACACTGGGAATTGGGAATTATAATTTGAAATTCTAGTCATTTTTTATATTCCTGAATCAAATCAAATCATCTCTTCCCAAGTATTCCAGCCCACATCCTGAGTTCCAAATATTACTTCCCTGCAGACAAATGTCAGCCATTCAGCTTCAAGCTGGATTTCCAAAAGACTGCAAGATACAGCCACCTTTGCAGGGCTCCTCAAATCTGCCCAAGGTCTACCCAGTGTCTTTTCCCTCCAAACCCATTCCTCCTCCTGACTCAGCCATCTCTGTTTTCAGAAAAATCATCCACTGAGTCATCCTTGCTTAAAACCTGTTATCTTCATCATCCTCTGTTCCTCACCACTGCCTTTGAGATCCCCTCTACAAACAAAATAAATTAAAAAGCAATCCAACTAAAACCAATCTAAGTCTAATTGCTTATCTGCACAGTGCCTGTGCATTTTTCCTTTCACTTCAAGCTTAGATGACATTAACAGAAAATAAGCCCCATGTCCTGACACACATCCTCCCAGTTCAGCCCTCCATCACCTCTTTGAAACAGCTATGTATTTTTACTGTGCCTTGTTTTAACTTGTGTACTAAAAACAGCTATTTTCAGTCTTTCTGCCCTTTATTTTTTTTATTGCACTCAAGATAGAGAAAAGCGTTTTTATAGGGATTAATATGTCACAATTGCCATAAGAAACTGTTACTTAGTTTAAGGACTGTTTGATTCATGTTTACAGTACACTGAAATAAGACTTTAGACTGCTTAGTGTGTTAGTGACAGATATCCAATCCAATGTATTTGAATGCACATTTAAAAAAAATCTATGCCAAATATTTCTTACAGAGCATAATTAAATGTTATGTGATCTGTATGCACTTGTTTTTGTCTCTTTTCTCTCTTGTGTTTCCTTCTCCCCTTCCCAACCTCCCAAGTAGTTGAGTCATATACTTTTTCACAGGGGATAGGGAACTAACCCCTTAGCTTTAAGTATTTCTTTGGAATAACAGCAAGGGCCCCTCTGTAAGGGACTTTTAAGAAAGGCAGAATCCCAAGCCCTACCCCAGACCACCAGGTTCAGAACCTGCATTTTAACAAGATTCCCAGGTGATTTCTATACATACTACAGTTTGAAAAGTGCTGGTCTAACCTGAAGGAGCATGACTGTCTACCTGTGAGAGATGACCTGATTTGCAAATGTCAATATCTATCGACAGTCTGTAATCATTAGGGATGGAGCGGGAAAGCAGAACAGAGTCCATCATCCAAATGCTCACTCTGCCCAGGGTTAAGACAGACATGTTTTTTTCAGGAATCAAGCAGCCTTGCATGTCCAGGGAGGTGAATGGATTTGAACTCAGGGCCTTGTGCTTGTCAGGCAGAAGTTCTACCGCTTGAGCCACTCCCTAGCCAAGACAGACATGTTTTTATAATGAAAATCAATTGCTTAAAATGTACAGCTCACAACCTCCAAAGAAACTAAAAGTTTTTCATCGAAGCACTGCAGCTGATGTGATTAAATAGCTACATTTCTCAGAAAGTCACTTACCCTCCCTTCTTGACCTCTGACAGCAAAACACACACACTCACATAACAGTAAGTGTGGTCAGAGCCTGTTCACTACAAATGAGGCTTGGGAATAGGGTCAGCCTTCCAACTTCCAAATGAACTTCGCAGTTTTCAAAAGGAAGAGCCTCATCTTAGTATTGGCCACAGCTGATCCATACACTGTTAGAACATTCTGCAGAAGTGAAATATTGGGTTGGATGGGCCATTGTATCAAATCCAACAGTGTCATCTTGCTAATCATGACTGCTCCTGCCTACTTTTCAAGAAAAAATGTTTCCATTCACGCAAGTAGGGAAGGCCATTTGGGTATGGAAGTTGCCTGGGAGAGACTGGAAGGTCAGCATGTCTTAAGACCAAATTCTGTGCTCAGTGACAGAGCTCAAAGATTAATGAGCCTCTCCTGGAATAGCCAACAATCTAGGAAAAGACAGGTAAAATGGCAGGCTGACATGGAGATCAGGTTATGCAAGCATAGGTTACCACTTCCTCAGCGGTACTAAAACCTAGCAGAAAACCATGGAGCTTGGTGAACACCGATCTCACCTTTCTTTACTTCCTTCATTCTTCAGAACATCTCATCTATTTGGGCATTCTTCTTAACCCACACATTTCCTCTCTTTTTGCTAACAGGTGGTATACATGATACCTGCAGTACTGACCCTGCTGGTTGGATTTAACCCTCTTGTCACAGGTATGAACCTTGCATTCTGAATGGAGATCTAGCAAATCAGATTTTCTTATGGTGATGAGAATTCACTTGCCCAACTCCCAGGAGAAAATCAGGAATCTCTAAGGCATTGCATTTCATTTCTGATAATAAGAGAGGCTGATTCTAACCTCGATTGTCCTTATTCAACTTTAGGAAAACTTCACAAGGACTTGCCATACTTAATCAGTTTGGACCCAAGACCTCCAGGCTGATATGGAATTCTGGTGTGCAGTTTACCTGCAAGAGAGAAAGGACTGCAGTCACTGCATTGATTTCTTATGCCACCAAAGTAGTGTAAAATCTAAGTGCTAATCTTGTGTTCTCAGACTCAGAGGCAATCAATGTGTATTATGTTTACTCTTTGCAGTCCAGTTCGACTCATTTTCCTTACAAATGCTTAGAGCAACACCACTCCCATTAACTGTTTTCTTATTTTGAATTAATTCGAAACCTATATGAACTACCACCAAGGAATAGAAACTGTCTATGCCTGTCAAATCTATGTTTTTATTAATATCTGCTGCTCTTTTTAATTGCCATAGGTACTGTCACAGTACCTACAGCAATGTATTTCATGCTTTTATATGTCTATTCTACTAGAATGTAAGTCCCTTAAAAGCAAGATTGTGTCTTAAGCACTTTTGCATAAATTTAGACATGTTCCTTAATCCATTCAGGTTGCTATAACAGAAAATGTCATAGACTGGGTGGTTTATAAGAACAGAAATTGATTTGTTTTTCGGTTCTGGAAGCTAGGAAGTCCAAGATCAAAGCACTAGCAAAATTCAGTATCTAGTGAACATCTTCTTCCAGTCACAGGTAGCCCCTTTGCTCTGTATCTTCACATGGTAGAAGTAGACAAGGGAGATTTCTCGGGCTACTATACAAGGGTACTAATCTCATTCCTGAGAGGTCTGTCCTCATGAACTGATTACTTCCTGAAGAATCCACCTTCTAATACTATCACCTTCAGGGTTGGGATTTCAACAATTTTGAGGGAGACACAAATACTCAATTCAGAGCAACATGGCTGGGCGGGTGGTAAGTACTTAACAGTTGCTGAATGAATGACTATAAAGTAGAGGCTCATTGAACTCCTTACATGTGTATTACATAAGAACACATATAAAGGATTCACTTAAAACAACTGGCTTGTATTGGATACAGACTACCTAACCTAATAGTGGGCAAAACAATACACATTTTATAGCTCTAAAAAACTCTTAACAAACCTTAGATTGAACATTTTTATACTATAAGAGTGTCTTAGAAGAAATATATATTACATTGGTTATTAACATTTTCTTATTAATGAAGACTGTTAATCCTGAAATATTCTTTTTTTGGTGGCACATTGGTGGGGAAATTTCTACTTCCCTGGATGCCCAGGCTTCTTTTTTAGGACCCTAGATGTCTGTATGCAGGAAAAAATACCTCAGCTCAAATGTGCTATGAGCTAAGAAGAAAATATACTGGTATCATTTACTAGAAAAACTATGGATGGTACTGGCTTTAGGCACTGGTGGACTCAAACCTAACCTTCTCTCCACCTTTCAGTTCCACCATCACCACCCCACCTTCACTGCTGGGCTTGACAGCTCCCAGTCCACATCGTCACAGCACTAGTCCAACAGAATAGAGATTGTTTCTTCACTCTAAGTCAGAATTGAGTGATTAGTCCCAGGTCAACATCTGTTTGTCCTGAGCCCAGTCACTATGGCTAAGGGAATAAATTCTTCGATTAGCCCACCTAAGGCCCAGTTCACTGGCATACATGGACTGGATGGAGTGTGGAGGAAGTGGGGTCCCCAAAGAAAATAAGGGTAGACATTATAGAAGGGGAGATGCTGGGCAACCAAAAGAGTGTCCAATGAAATTTACAATTAGTGCTGTAACTTCTACATTGTCTCTCAAAAAAAAAAAAAAAAACAAGGGGAGGGGGGCTTCTGAATGCCTTTCTTGAAAGCAGATTATGGTAAAACAGGTGCAAAGAGATTATTTGTTTCTAGATGACATCCTGTGATTAACAACATATGTTTTAGGTAACTTTATTTGGAAGAGTGTCTCTGTGATACACATGCTATTTTGCATGGTGTGGGCTGTTGGCTTGGGATACTACCTCCTGCTTCATACGCAACAGAACATCTTACATGAGGAAGAAGGCAGGTGAGTAGTGACTTTTGCTCTTTGGAAGGGTGGGGTACGACCAAGAAGTTTTTTATTCCTCTATAATGCCAGTTTATCTGTGTGGAATGATGATTTAACTCCCCTAACTGTACCATGAGGAGCAGGGAGCAGGGAAGGTAACTTATCCTTTCTTTACAAACTGAAGAAACCGAGAAAACGATGGCACCAGGATTCAAACCCAACACTGCCTATCGGCTGCCATTATCTACTCCATATTACTGTCAGGCAGTTGGACTCTGACCTCCCTATAACTAGCAAAGGTACAACACAGTGATAACACAGTCGAGCCAATTAAAGTGCTAACTCAGTCAGCATTCTGACTCAGCTGGCTAAGTCAAAGTCTTATCTACAAGTGAGCAGCCATCTCAGACGTCAGTGAGTCAGCCTCTGCTAGCCTTGCCCTCCATTGTCACATGTCATCTCCTCCCTTGGTTGTGACCATTTGTTCCTGTTTTATCACCTCTTTTTTTGCTTCCCCCCACCCTTGACTCCTGCCCTTATTAAGAAGCCCTTTACTCTCTTTTCTGTCCCCTTCTGGTATCTGTCAACACTGTGCTCCAGAAACCTGCCCTATCTGTGGAAAACTGGAGAGCCAATTCAGTTGGGTCTGTAGATGGGGATGTAAACCAAATAGGTTGAATGGCCTCCAACTTAAAGACCAGGAGTTATGGTGAACTCAAAGTGGGGTCTCCAGTAGCACAGGTTGAATATGATTGTTCTCTATCCTATGTAAAATCCATGTGCTTTTAACACATCTCAAAAAGCACATACCCACACTTACTAGTTTGATTCATACTACAAACCAATTGTCTCCCTGCAATCTCCTCCAACTCCTGCAGTAATGTGCTCAAATTGATTTGAGCTCATCTTGCTTAACACTGAGGCCTCTGAAATATGTAAAAAATAATGACAAGTGAAATCTAGGATTGTTTTCTTGGTTATACCATTTCTCCCAGTGATGTGAGTAAGGCTACAACCACTTCACAATGTGAAACACATGCTGTTTTCCAGGGAGCTATCTGGCCTGGTGATCATCACAGCATGGATGACCCTGTGCCACAGTTCAGCAAAGTAAGTTCTCAACCCTTCAGTTGAAATCAGGTGACCCCAGATTGATAAAATAAGGTAACAAGTGAAAATTTTTGACACACAAATGAAAACAAGAATCTTTTAAAATAAGTTTTTCTTTTTCATAAAGAAAGCAACTAAGAGTTGATTCAAATGTTTGTGATCACTCATAAGTTCATGCATCCCATCTCTTCCTGGTGAGGCCCACATATCACAGGCAGGCCAAGAGCATTCTTCAAGAAGGACAGTAATCTCAAAAGGAAACTTGGAGATTCAGGGAAGAGCAAAGAAAATACAAATGTGTGGATACATATAAGTGAATATTAGCTTACAAAATAATAATGATGTTTTGTGGAGTTTAAACACATAGAATAAAAATACATGACAACAGAAGCATGTAAGTTTGAAGAGGATAAATGGAGTTAAAGTGTTCTAAGGACAATGTCTGGGAAGAGTTAAAGTAAAAATGCATATTAGTATATATGTCAAGGATTCATACTGTAATCTTTAGGGCAACCACTAAGGGAATAGAAAATATGTATAGAAGGTAGAAAAAAATGGAGAAAAAGAGCAAATGGCACAAAGGTAGAGATTTAAACCCAAATCTTTCAGAAATTATATTAAATATAAATGTACCAGTTAAAAATCAAAGATTTTCAAAATGTACAAAAATATTAAAAACCCAACTTTACACTGCTTGCAAATTACAACCCTTAAATATACAGATATATAAATACTGAAAGTAAAAAAGTAGAAAAAATACATTAGCTAAGTATGGTAGTTCATGCCTGTAATACCAGTACTTAGGAAATTGAGGCAGGAAGATCACAAGTTCTAGGACAGCTGAGCTGCAAAGTGAGACTCTGTCTTAAAAAAGGAAGAAAAGAAGGGAGAGAGGGAGGGAGGAAGGGAGGAAGGAAGGAAGGAAGGAAGGAAGTCTTGACTTATGACAAAGGTAGTGCTGCAGGGTAGTTAAGATAGTCTTTTCAATAAATACCAGGATTGATTGAATATTCATTTGAAAACAGATGAAACAATCTTTACCTCACAATGTTCATAAAAATCACTTCGAGGTGATTATAGATCTAGCAAAACAATAAAACTTCTAGAGAAGGCAATAGATTCTTGAAGACCTGGGGAGGGGGTGAAAGGTCTGTTTTAGTACAGTCTAATTAATCAGTATTCAAGAGCCATCAAGTGGGACATTTGGAATATTAAACAAAGATTTGTTTTAAGCATATGTAATTTCTACAAATCAATGAGTTATATTTTAACAAAGAGAACAGCATGTTAAAATGTAATCATGTATTTTACCAATTCAGCCTTTATGTTTATTTCCTAAGCAATCTAAAATTTTATTGGACTTTCATTTGCAATAGTTTTTGGTATGCTTACAGGAGTCCAGCTAGCGGAAGAATCCAGCTGGGTATTGCCATTGTAATCACTCTTTTCCCACTTATTTCCTGGGCCTACGTCTACGTGAACAAGGAGATGAGGTCCTCTTGGCCAACTCATTGCAAGACAGTAATTTAAATGAACTCAAGAATTGTGTTTTTTAAAATAGTGTTTTTAATCCTTTACAAGTATCAGTGAAACAGGACAGTTTCTGTGTTCAGGAAATTTGAGAAAATATTAGAGATGATTTAAGGGCCTTAACTTTTTGCAGGCTGTCTACAATATAATGTAAGATTGAATAGGACAAGTAAGAAATGGGGTCAGACATTCTCTGGAAGGGTGTTGTGCCATAGTGTAGTGGAAACAGTACTAGAACAAAAGCTAAGAAATATCTATGTCCTAGTAGATATTTCCTTATATGTAAAATTGAGTTAATTCCAAATCCCTTACATAGTTACTCCAACCAAACTAGATCATAAGAAAGCTCTCAGAAAATAGAAAGTGCTTGCAGATTACAACAGGCTGCATATGATTAAAACAGGGGAGCAGAGGTTGGATAATATATTGAGATAGAGGTAGGTTCAAGAAAGGGCTAAAACACTGACCTAATCCCATTATACTGAACTGGTACAGTGGCGTGAACCAAATAAACAAGCGTGTCTTAGAAAGAGAAGTTGTGTAGGAAAAAGGAATTTGAGAACAATCAAGAAGGAAATAGGCACAAGAGAATATTAATTACTCATAACTTCTCACAATTCTAAATGAGAAATAAGCCCAAAATCCATGCACATTTTTTTCAAGTGAATGTCCGAAATGATCCTAGAAGGAGAGCATTTCAGGGTGACACTCTCCAATATGGCGGCTGTTAGCCACACTGCAAACGAGCATGTGAAATGGAAACTGGGTGACCAAGAAAGTACATTTTTAATTTTTTCTATTTTAATTTAAAAATTGATTTTTCAATTGTTAGAAAACATTTAAATATGCTTGGAACAACTTGGGCATGTGAATCTACATTTTCAACTATCCATTTTGATATCTTAAATACAAATTAAGTATTTAAAAAAAATGTAGTGTCCAAATGGATGGGCTATAAGTGTAAAATACTAGATTTTAAAACATTGTACAAAAAGAATGTAAAATATATTTATATTGATTACATACTGAAAATATTTTTAAGATATTATGGGTTAAATAAAATATATTATAAAATTAAGTTTATCTGTTTCTAATTACTTTTTAAAATGTGACTGCTACAATGTTTAAAATTACTTACATAGTTCATGTTGCATTTTAGTTAGACATCTGCATGGCAAGTGTTTTACCTATGCTAGAATTAAGCTATGTAGTCAGATACCGTTTTAGGAGATTTAGGAAATGCATCACTTAAAAAAACTAGCACCTACCACATGTCAAGAGTGAGAATGAGTCTGACAGTTTGTCTCTTTATTTTTATAGCAACAGTAAGTATTCTGCATTTATTAAAGGAGGCATGAATTTTTTTGTTTTGGACACAATGGTCACAGAAATCAGAAATTACTAAAAAGATATTAATGCAGTTACAGTATAATTTAAGGGTCAATAAAAACATGTAAGCGCTTTGAGTTTTCCAGTGTCCATTTAACTTACAAGTTCTTTATGACTTTTATACTTCCTTTAGAGTTAACAATTAAAGTCACACACGAAGAAACTGACTCATTTACAAATCTATGTGTAGGCCCTACCCGCCCTCCCAGTCATGCTTGATTCTGTGCTTAAACAACAGTATGAAAGTAAAATATACTTTCATAGCATTTGTATCTCCCTTATCAGATCATGATTTCTGTGAATATTTACAGAACTTTTTGCACCTCCAGAGTTAAGCATATAAAAGGCACCAGCTTTCCTTTGGTCTTTATTAGTGAAATCATTTTTAAATTCTATTTTTTCTTTTTTTGTTTCTTTGAGGCAGGGTCTATGTAACTCAGGTTGGCTTTGAACTCAGTATGTATATAGACCAGGCTGGCCTTAAGCTTTCAATACTTCTGTCTCAGCCTTTCAATTACTGAAATTACAGGAGTGCAACGCTATGCCCAGCTAAAATATATTCTTCTATTGAAGAATTATTAGTAAACTTAATATTTCAACTCTCTAAATGTCTACCCCAACCCCTCTTTCTTCTCACTGTCCCTCCTCTATATCTACCTCTTATTGTCTACTGTCCAGGCCCACAAGTCTAATCATATATTCCTTAGCTCAAAAACCAAGAGCTCCTTACTAAGTTACATTCTAACTCTTGGCTCTTCACAACATAGCCCTGCTTTCTTTCTTACCATAGCTCTGAGCACTTTCTGATGAATCCTCATGACATTACTGACACTCCTAAACTTAGCAGTTTTGATGTCTGCTTCTACTATTCTACTTGAAATGCTCTTCCCCACTTAGTCAAACTATTTCTCTTTTCACGTTATCCCTAATCCCTTCAAACAAAATTTCCCTTCCATCTTCCCATTTTTTTGTATGACAGCCAATTTCACAACATATTTGTGTATGTGTATGTCTTTCACTCATGGTAAGGTCTACGAATATAGGAGCTCATCAGTCATCTCTATGGCCAGCTGAATACCAGCCCTCAAAGATATCTAGGTCCTAATCCTTGAAACCTATGATACTTTATGCTACACAATGGACTTTGCAGATGTGATTAAGGATCCTGAGATGGAAAGATTACCTGTATTATCCAGGTGGGCCAAGGAATGCAAAAATGCAACTCAGGAGCCTGCAAAAGGGAAGGAGAAGGGCTCTGCCTAGAGCTTACTGGAGTGTGGCTGTGCTAGCACCTTGCTTTCAGCCTGGTGAAAATGACTTCAGACTTCTGACCTCTAGAACTACCAGAGAATAGACATGCTCTAAGCCACCAAGCTCTAAGCTGATGTAGGAATCTATCAGCAGCTGTGGTAAATAATACACTTCTATATCCCTGTAGTGCATTGGTTCTCAACAAGGCATACTTACAATGTTTTTCAGAACCCAAATCAAACCTTCTCCACACTTGAACAGTTCGATTTGCCATCCAGTTAAGTGTTTCTGCAGATAAGCCCTAGCATGTGTGACAAATGAATTCAATATACTCCATGTAGAAAAGGTGTCAAGAATAAATTCATTTACCAACTATGGACTCATATAGGCACTAGCAAATGTCCCACACAGACCAAAGCAGTAAGCACACAGCTGCAACAGTGCTTGGTCCTGCTTTGGCTAGGATCACAAGAGGACCAGATGACTTCCTTAGAGGCCCTTCTGAGAGAGATGGGGCACCACACATTCATCTGTGAAGTAACTTCTGATAATTTGTGTTCACAAAATGGGACTATAGCCTATCAAGTCCAAGTACAGGTATTCTGAGCAAAACTGTTCAAAGCTCACGCACACTGCAGGGTGGATAGAAAAGCTTACCTGAGCTTTATTCTTATTATGAATTTTAAGCTAGATATACATGAATGTACATGAACATGAATACATTCTCCTTACACAAAGCAGAAATATTTCATATAAGGTCAAATAAAGCCCCTTAGAGGATGAAATGCTCCAACTCCCCTCCTGGTTTATTCTGTTTCTAACTTTCAGCACTGGATATATTATCCAAAAATGAGCTTTCTCAATATGTTATCTTGACTAACACAAACTGAAGCCCAAACCACATTTTGTTATGCGAGCACAAGCATAATACTAAACAATAGGATTGAGAATTTTTATTTTCGTTTTCCTTCTTGTGTGGTAGGGACAAACACAAAGCAAAGTCATTCTCATTCTACAACATCAAACAAGATAAATCAGACTACAAATGGAAAGCTTTTTCCTTCTTGTAATTCAAAATTCTATCTGGAATTCTGCCTCTCCCTTTCAGCATCATTTTGTCAGGATAGACATGAACTGTGCCAAAAGCTTGGCTGTCTGGAGCTGTTTCAATAACTCCTTCTATGTTGACATGGTGCACACCAAAAGGATCCTCAGAGTAGCCACCATCATGAGTGTGACCAGCAAAGAAACAAACCACACATTTGTGAGACCAAATGACCGCCAGGGCATCTGTGTAGTTCCAGGCCAGGCACACACTGTCAGAGGCCTCTGGGTAAATGGGAAGATGGCCTGTTAAAGAAAAGAAGTTAGTGGTTAATTAAGAAATATCTTTTCCATCAAGGTAAATGCCTAAAAGCTAGTACACAGAAAAAAAACAAACAACAACATGAATTACTCCCCCATCATGCTAAGGACCCAGACCAAGAGAATCCACACACATGAAAAAGTAGGCTGCCGAGCATGGTGGGACAACCCTGTAATCCCAGGCTGAAGCAGGAGGATCCTGAGTTGGACACCAGCCTGGGCCACAAAGTGAGGTACCGCCTGGGCTACCTAGTAAGACTATGTCTCAAAAAGAAAAAAACAGGGCAATCTCTGAAGATAAAAAGGAGGGTGAGATAGTCACAAATGAAGCGGAGGAGGCTGTTGGAGAGGCAAAACTCTTGAGATCGCTGAGGCCTACGGAATCTAGAGTTACATAAATAGCAAGGAAGATCAAAGGCAGTCGGCAAAGGCAGTTAGATACCATGCAGGTATCCAATCTCATTGATTTTCTTAGATATAAACAGTATACACACAGAAAGATACGATACTAAATAAAAGATCAGTTAGGGACTGGCCACGGATCATTATATAAACACTCAATCACTCAATGCTATAGCAGTGAATCAATTCATTTGAGACTTTAAACACCCCTATGAGACCAAGGAAGCCACATCCAATTTACCAATGGGAGAACTGATTAAAGCAGGGAAGGTTTATATTGAGCCACACAGTAGATTTGTGGATACAGATCCAGGATAATTTTAAATCACTAATGCCAACATATCAGTAAACTCAGACCATAGCTCATTGATCTCTGCTTCTTTTCAGTAAGTCACTTTTCTTTTTTCTGTTTTATTTTGAAATTATGATTCTGTTTAGTAACTACTTATAACACACACACACACACACAAAGAAAGAAAAAAGGAAAGGCGGTAATTTAACAGACCTCTAAAGCAAGAAAGGAATGCATGTGCCTAAGACTTGCCTCATGCTCATCCCCCTCACCCTATCCTCCTCTCCCCCCCGACACACAGGCCAGGCACACACTGTCAGAGGCCTCTAGGCAAAAAGGAAGATGGCCTATTAGACACTAGATACAAGATATAAGTTGTGACAAAGGCTAAGAGTCCAAAGGGGCTGTGTAGAAGCCCTATTTACTCATGCATCAAATGACACAATAAGTTGCCTCCTTCTCTTGGCAGTTCTTAGCTTCCAGGACACCACCATTTTTCCTAGTGATGTCTTCCTAGTTTTCCTCCAACTTCAATGGACATTCGTTTTTGATCTTCTTGTGGTCTCTCCTTGGTTCCCCAACATCCTGTCAAGAGTGCCAAAAGGCTTGTTCCTTGGACTTCTCTTCCTACACCTAATAACCTTGGTGATGTCTTAGTGATTTACATACCTTTAAAAATCATTTATATTATTTTACTTCCTATACTTATATATCTAGCTTGAATCTCTATTCTGAATTTTAGAATCATGTCTGAACTTCCCACCCAACATTTCCACTAATGTATAACAGGTATTTGAGAGTTCATAGGCAATTATTTGAAATTAGTATTTTCAAACCTGAATCCTGGTCCTCTTGACTCTGACACCCTCATCCTGCAGTGTTTCCCACCTCAGCTTAATGGTAAATCTATCTTTCCAAATGCATGGCAACAACTCAGAGACCTCTAGATAATCACATTGAAGTTAAAAATCAAACAAAAAGAAAAGGAGATTTCTATTTAACTTTTAAACTGCTATCATTAGATAGAAATGGGAAGACTCCAAGATAGAGGGGAAAGGGAAGGGGAAGATAAACATGATGCCAGCACTTCTGCTGGCAGTCATATGACTAGCTGTGTAGTTCAATCTCTTTGGGACTTCAGTTTACCTTTATTTAAAACTAAAGGATTTGCTACCTTCTTTCTAGGTCCCTTTCAGCTAAGTGTGGCAGTGGAAATCCAAAAAGCAGACACAAGTCAAGAAGTACCCCTGCTTCTGAGAACACTATCATAAAGCCAAATGACAATAACCCAAGGCCACCTTATCTTTTCCAAGCCTTGATACCTGACAATCAAAAACAGCAGAAATATCCCTGCTCCGTCCATGTTTGCATGGCATCAGTGAAAAATTAATAAGTAAAAAATACAAGTAAGAGCCAGAATGGTATTCCATCGTCTGACTATCAGTGCAGTCTTCTCATTTATGAAGTCAACCTGATTTTAAAGCAAGGTCTGTAATGTCAGTCCCCAAATCAAGTTCACTAGCCAGACTGCAAAATCCAAATTTGGTTCTTCATGTACAGGCAAAAGCACACATTTTTTTTAAGCACTTCCAGATTCCTATAATCTCTGATGGCAGTGTATCTTATCAAAAATGATCCTAAATGAAAGTAACAGAAATCTAATTTCCTTAGCACCATGTGGTTGATAAGTGCTCTTAAGTCACCTAAGCTTATCACACTCCTCTGGGCAGCAGTTAAGGTGGCCACTTCACTGCTAGAACTCCTAGGGCTGAGGTCTGTTTCTCAATTAAAAATTATTATACAAATTGATCCCACGTGGAGAAATTCAACTTTGAAACCTATAAGGGCAGCCCATAAGCACTAACACATAAAAGATGTTTTTGTTAGTTTACAATTCTTTCCTGACTCATTCTTAAATGTTAATCTTAGATTCAGGTTATGTTTCCATAAAAATTTTAAACTAAGCATCCATTTCATAGAAAGGTATGAAAACATATGTATCATTAATAGTTAACTTTTTGTAATCTCTAAAATGATAGTGTAACCAGATAAACAATTTAAATACTTACTCACAATCACCACCTTTTCTTGGTTTGTGTCAGAAAATGTAAGAATTTCATTCAACCAGTTCAGTTGTTCTTGGCTGAATCCTCCATTAAACTGGACAAACTGGGGTTCAGAAAGTCCTGAATGAATTCAGTAGGTTAGAGCTATCAAACGTCATTTTTCCCATGTGGACATTCAAGTTTGGCTAATACAAGGATACGTGTTCATTTCTCAGGAATATTTGATTAGCAACAATTGACTTGAAATATGAAATCATAAGAACTTAGAGCAAAACATAAATAATCACACTGTATCTTACTTCTACGCTTCACATTCACTGGCTACTCACTGGCTTTACATTGCACTGAAAAGAAAATACAACCTCCTATGTCCACTGAACTACATATTCTTGTACCTGTTTATTCTCCAATATCAACTTCTACCTCACTGGCCCCTTTATGTGTTGTCAATTATGCCAAAGTCTCATTCCATTCAGTCCTTTGCATCTGTTTCTGTCTGCTAGCTCCCTACCCCCATTCTTCCTAAGTATAACTCCTTCTTGTCATATTGACATCAGTTTAAGTATTTATCTCCTTAAAGAGACTTTCTCTGATCACCTAATCTAATCTAAACTAGTGCCCTTATTTCTTTTCTGTAATATCATACTCTATCTTCTTGGTAACATTTACCAATGTGGAAATAATCTGATTTCTGTTTCATTTATTACTGTAGTTTGGATGTAAAATGTTCCCCAAAGTTTCATGTATTAAAGGCTTGGACACCAGCTCATAGCACTATTGGGAGATGGAAGAACCTTTAAGTGAAGACTAGTGGGAGAAGTCACTGGAGTGTGGCCTTGAAAGGGATATCAGGACCCTAGCCCCCATGAGGTAGTGTAACCAGATAAACAATTTAAATACTTACTCAACTACATGCTCCCAGCCATGATATGTAGCTTCACCACAGGCCAAAAGCAACAAGACCAAGCAGCTACAGACTAAAAGTTGTGAGACCATGAGACAAAAATAAACCTTTTCTCCTTATAGGCTGAAGATCTCAGGTATTTGGTCAGTGATGGAAAGCTGACTAATACATTTGTTATCTCTCCTACATACTGCTATGCTTTCCTTCATTATTTCCATTAAAAAAGTGATACTGTAAAGTACTCATTCCAGAATGGGCATTCATGTATCTCTTAAATAAATGAAACTTGAATCAACTATAACTTGTGCAAAATTCTGACCCTGAACAACAGTCACAATATACTTTTACCTTAATTGTCCATGTTCCTGCTGAATAAAAGGTAGCTGAAGAATTTAAAGACAATGTATTAGATTCTCAGCTCAAAGGAATAATTCACCTTGAGGACTATTCAACTCCATATTTGGATTGTGCTCCCTCAGCATCTTCATAGACTGCTGGTATTTTGGAGAAGACTGATCTACACCCAAGACACTCAAGTCATAAGCATCAAGTAAAATGAACCGGAACTTAGGGAATGGTACAAAATGATAGGCATAATAATTCTCTGAAGGTATGGTCTCAGGATGACATGCAATCCTGTCCTCTAGAAACTTTGTGTTAAGTTTAGAGTTTGTTAAGTAGTCTCTACTGAAGTTATAGAATTCATGGTTTCCCCAAGTATGATGAACTGGAACTTTAAGCATTTTGAAAGTGTTCATAACAAGTTCTAGAGACTTTTCTGATGCTTTATACTGTGCATTGTAGCCATCGATGATATCTCCAAGTTGGAGGACACAGCAGGGTGTGTTGCCTTCTTTATTCCAGTCTTCAATGGCACCCTGTAAGTGAAGAAGACTATGTCTGTAGTACCTCTTTCTGTTTCCTTGGAAATTATATCCATCTTCTAAATCAGCATATTGAATATCTGCTATAACTCCAAAGGAGAAGAGTTGCTCAGAACTGTCACTTAGGGTTCCAGGATTCGGCTTATCAGCCATAGCCTCCAAACAGGTTTCTAAATAAAAGAAATAACTAAGTTAAAAAATATCTTAATTTTCTAATTGGACTGATGAAAATGTATATTAAACTTAATAGTTAATTCAGTAGGCAGCCTGACACAGAAAAACTAACATGGGCTTTAGAATTCAACAGTCTTAGGTCTACTAAGCCTCTGAAATGCTCCAATTTTCTCATGTGTAAAATAGGTGATAATCTCTATCCTTCAAGAGTACTACCTTACAAATGATATCTCCAAGTTGGAGGACACAGCAGGGTGTGTTGCCTTCTTTATGAACATACATTCTAATTCTAATGAACAGACATTCTAATTCTAGGAAAGCCAGATTCAAATGTGGAATAATTTCTAATTTTGTACTCATTTTAAACTTACACTCAATATACATCCTCTCCCACAAACATCAAACAAGCCCATCAAAACCTCAAATTTTTTGTAGAGGTGCATATTCCACCCACTCATCCACTGTTCTTTAAACATCAGATTCCCACTATGGGTTACTTTGTTTCTGGCAAGGTCTTTCCTCTTTGTTGGTGGGTAGCTCATTGAAATAAGTTTCTCATCTTTTCTATCTGAAGTAACTGGGGGAGGCAATAAAGATATGAAAAGAGAGGAATAATTTTAAACACACAAAAAATCCAGTGTAAAACTATGACACCAATGTGCAACTTGTTACTACCATTAGCAGTAGTTCTGTTTCTTTGCTTCTAATTTAACCAGATTTTTAAAAATCTTAATTATTAACACCTGCCACAACCAAAACAGAAAACACGAAATCTTTTCATCTTACACATGATCTCTGTCCTGTTTCAGTGGTCAAAAAGCAAGAGATTAATTTAAATTTGAAAAAGAATCTTATCAGATTGTTTGCAATCTAAATTTGTAATTTCTAAAAGAACCAAGAACACTAAGGATTTTAATAAATACAAAAGACCAAGATCCTAAAATTATAACTATTTTTATTATAATGTAAACCACTGCTGTGGTGGTATCTGGATTTTTAAAAACCTAGTTGTTTCTAAAAGTTGATTTGACTTTCTATAATTACTTTCAGACACCTGGTCTCCAATTACTTACCCAGTATTTCTAGAGTTCCCATTTAATCCTCTGCAGACATGAAATCCCACTTGTAAGAGTACTTCTCACAAAGACAGAAGACACAACTCCATATTCAGAATAGGGGTCAGACTTCAGTTAAACTTATTAATAAGAACTAGGGGACTCTTCAATCTAAAACTACTGTCACTAGTGTACTATGTCCACTTAATCTACTCAAACAGAAACTTAAGCTGCTTTCTTTCTTTCTTTCTTAATCTCACTGGGTATAACCAGTTACATAATAGGTAAACACCACCAGAAAAAGGTGGACATACTGAAAAATGGTTTGTCTTCAGGCTTTTTTACATGCACACTTCTTCCTGTAGTCTCCATCTGAAAAACTCTACTAGACAAGAAGTAAGCAATTGTGTGTGATGGAGTGGTATTTTCATTTATAGTTCTAGAAATGAAAGTTAATGTGATTTGGAAGGTAGAGAACTTGGATACAATTACAAGAAATACAAACCTCATCTAAATCAGCTGAAAATGTCTAGTTTTATTAGTTTCAAATGTTTGTGATTCCAAGTACAGATTAAAATCAAGCCTTAAGACAACTTAGCAAGTATGTCACATAAACATTATTACCAAAGCTTAGGGGAAACTGGGAATGCTCTTAATCCTCTCCCAAATGAATTTATTTTTATATTTAAACTCAGAGTCTTTAGGTGATAATATGTTCTATGGAGCTCTTAAGAGAGGATTTAGTCCCAATTAATTTATCTTCTCTCTAGTAAGAAACTATTATTTTTGGCCTATCTAGCAGTTATTTCCTATTTTGGGGATAACAGCACCCTATTTTTCCTTTGGGCATCTACACAATTTCCTACTCTTAGTGCATGTGTTTTGACCTCCTTAGCTAGAGAAGGTGAACAACAGATAGAAGACTCAGGTCTGGCCTATAAAAGCCCAGTTTCCTTCAAACCAGTTAGGGACAGGAATCCAACCAAAGGTGGGTCAGTAAGCAACAGCCCAAGGACATTTCTGGGAGCACTAGCAAAAAAGTGCTGCAACTACTTCTGCTAAGCTTGTAACTAAAACTTGAGTTTCTTGAGGAAAATTAACTGAGAAGAAATCCAACATATAAGAAAGCAAATTTGAATAACAGAAATAAGTAGATTCCTGGAAACATTAGTTGAATACCTGCATTCACCAGTCCCTGCTAGAGTTACCCTTGGATCATTAATTGTATCAGCCAATGCATTCCCCTTTGAGATGAAAGCCAAATGAAATTATCTGCTGTCATTTAATGTCAAAATTCTGCCAAATACAACTTCCACTGAAACAAAGGTTCAGTTTAGGGAAACTCAAGGCTATCATAAAATTTGGAAACCTTTCAAAGAAAGTAAGGTATAAAGAAGCACCAAGTGGAATATGCTTTAAAACTGCAATCTGTTTGGGGGTATAAAAGAGACCAAAATGTTAGATACAGTTAGCTTTTTACAAGGATGGGGGGAAACAATTTTATTAAATAAATTATTTTGAAAAACAAAAACTTAAATTAATACTATTGGTATCAGACATAAGGGTTCTTCTAGCTCAGTAATAATAGAAATAAAAGTAAGGCAAACCGAGGACAAACTGTTCTGGGTTTAATTGAAAGGAAAAAGGGGTTAGGAGGAGGGGAACAGCATTAACAAACTGAGACTGCCCCAAATCAGAGGAAGGAATCGGCTCTTTCGTCAAGTTGCTGGAGTAGTCCTGGGACTGATAATTTCCCACTAGTCCAAAGGGTGGCTTGTTTTAAAAATAAACCTCATATGTTTTAAGAGACTTCTCTTTGTGTATGATACTTGTGACAAGAGTAGGGAAAGGGGAGTAAGGGATGACAGGCATATTCCATACATCGTTGACAAGACAGGTACTTCTACTGGGCAATGGGTTATGAAGTAAGGCCGGAAATTTTGTCTCTTGTTCCCATGAAGGTCCTTGTTTACCTATGACCTGTAAAGGGATAGCTAAGAGTCAAGAATGGAGGACAAGGTCACATTCAGGGACAAAAGGAAGAGAAGTGAGTAAGTGGGCAAATAGAACCAAGTGGGCACAGAAATGATTCCCTGTGCTAGTTCAGTTGTGTTTTACAGTTCGGGAAGATGCTAGGGAGCTCAGAAAGCCAAAGGCACCTTTGCTCAAAACTCAAAGCCATCTTCAGTGGGGAAACCAAGAATAAGCATTCTAATGTCATGGAACATTTTCAAAATACCCCTCTCTTTCACAAATACACACACACACACAATATTCTGTTGAAGTTGGCTATAAGCACATGAGGTTTATACAACTCTTATGCATATATTAAAATGCCTATACCAGTTTTTTTTAAAGCTTCTAAAATGTAGAGACAATAGAATATGAACAAATTAGAAGACCTAAGGATATATTTTAGTTTTGAGAATAGAAAGGAGAATAGCAAGTTTTTAATGAACTTTGTTCTGACAGTTTTATCTGCACCATCTATCATGTGCTAAGTTACTTAAATTTTAGTTTTTAAAAAGGTATTATGATGAGAAATATAGTCCCAGTTTTCTCTAAAACAAAATAACCCCTCATTCAGCTGAGTTATAAAATACAGCAATTATTCTGCAAACTGTTGAATCATAAAACACATATGCATAAGTTAAATAATTTTTATTTTTAAAATAAAAATAATTAGCATATGGCATATAATTAGCATATAATTGTTGTACGGGGGATACATTGTGATATTCATATATGTGCTTATAATATATCTTAGTTAAATTACCTCCTCCATCATTCTCTCTTATCTCCTTCTCCCCCTCCTTAGAACAATTTCAAGATTTCATTCTCCTATTTTCATATATGGATAAAAAATACACCTACCATATTCACCCTCATTCATTCCCCTTATGCCCAGCCCCCCACCCACTGATACTCACCCCCCAAGAAAAGACCTATTCTACCCTCCTGACCTTCATTTTCTAAAATGTATACATTGATAGTCCAAGGGGGGGGTTGCCTTTGTACTTCAGGCCTGTATATATAGTGCTTTAATCAAGTTAACCCCCCATTACTTACTCTTTCTCTGTTACCATGCTCCTCCAATATTCAACAATTTATGGTGCAGTACATTGTATTACATTTATAGATTAGTTTGTTTCAATATTTTTCACTTTCTAACATTTTCTTTCCCTTTCCTGTCTCCCAGTCCCCTGAGATAGACCTACTAACACAATCTTGTTCTCTCTCTCACTATATATATGTGTTCATATACATATTTATATGTACATTTAACTTCTAAGTCTACCTTCCTCATATGAGGGAAAACATGCAAGCTTTGACTTTTATAGCCTTTCGAGCCTGTCTCACTTTGCTTAACATGATGTTCTCCACCTCCATCCATTTACCTGTAAACAACATAATTTCATTCTTCTTTATGGCTGAGTAAAACTCCACTGTGTATATATACCACATTTTCTTGATCCATTCACCAGTTGTAAGGCATCTGGGCAGTTTCCAAAGCTTGACTATTGTGAATAGTGCTGCAACAAACATGGATGAGCAAGTGGCTTTATAGTATCCTGGAGCACACTCCTTCACAGTGGTATCACTGGATCATATGGTAGTTCTCTTTTTAGTTTCTTAAGGGACCTCCATATTGCTTTCCATAGCTGTTGCACCAAAAAATAATTTTTAAATTATATATCTGAAAATATGTATGTTTGGTGAGCTCAACTAAAACCACTGCAATTTTTTTTTTCCGGCAGTGCTAGGGATTGAACCCAGGACCTTGCACATGGTAGGCACTCTACCACTTGAGCAAGCCCCCAACCACTTTGTTTGTTTGTTTTTGAGATATGATCTCAATATTTACCTGGGCTGGCCTTGCACAGGAAGTTATGATCCTCCTGTCTTTACCTCCAGAGTAGATGGAATTATATAGGAGTGCCCCATTACACCAGCTACTACAATGTTTTAATAGAACAAAATGATGTAAAAAACTTTACAATATTTTCTCTCAAAATAACTACAAAAAGTGTGGTGCAGGTTATGCAGCCAGCATTCTGTGAAAACTACCCTAGGCATAAATGATTTTTTTTAAATAGCAAGATATAGGGGATGGGGGTGTGGCTCTAGTGGTAGAGCATCTGCCTAGCAAGCACAAGTTCTTGACTTCAAACTCCAATACACCTCCCCACTAAAAAACATAGCAGGACCAGGGATGCTTAACTGCTGAAAACTTGCCACAAGATGAAAGCTAAACTTCTAGAATACCTAAGACTGGCAGAAGACTGACATTCCTTACAGAAAGCCCTCAGGTATCCAAGAGGAATTTGTGAAAGACAACCCTGCACAGAAAGTTGTATTTCCTTCACACCATTGTCACAACAAAACAAGGTGGCGGGGAGGGGGGGATGTCCTGGTATCAGCAATAAGACTTTGTTGAGAGAGACTACTGAAATAGAAGCTCGAAGCCTAGGCCAGAAACGTCATAGGAAGGGCAGATGAGCAAGACTTTTACATGCACAGACAATAGAAAGAGCAAAGTATTAACACTGTTAGTAAAATGACAGGAAGGTTGAAACAGGAAATGCTTGTGGTTAGGTACAACTGGCAGAGTCTGGTCATAAGAAGAAGCAAACATGCTACAGTACTTGGAAGTTCACAGTAAGTTTGAGCTTAGCTATCCTAGTCAACCCAGCCTAAAGATATGTCAATCGCAAAATTAATCAGTCTGGTTAACTACTGATAGAACAAATATCAGATGGTATTAGACATGCCCTGCCTTTCTCAAGAAAAATATCTAAATTGAAAACAAACTCATTTGCTGATCCTGGTAGTTTACAGTAGTAATAAAAGCAATAGATTTGCACTAAATAACATTTTACATAGCTCTTAGCAGGAGTCCATGAAATCAGGCTAGAGATGTTATTAACGATTCATCCAATATTTACTTACAGCAGATGCTAGCATTTTTTATCTAGTAGTACAAAGTTAATATACATTTTATTTTAATTTATATAATGTGAGTTAGATCGTGTTACATTACAACTTAGCAATTAGACAGATGAACAATAACCTTGGATGCTCATTACCTGAATAAGAAAGGTACTTTTGCATCTTTTTTTCAACTGTAAAAAAAACCTTCTGGGAAAAAACACACAAAAATAAAATTAAAATGCAGAGACAAATCTAATCCATAGGCAACTTCAAGATAGAAGAATTAGTTTTGATTAACAATGATCTGAAGTTCTAAGTAGACATTCGAGAACTCTTCTAACTTTGAGGGTAAATTTCAGAAAATTCCAGCTCAATTTGGGAAGGAAGAAACACAAGTAATATTAAATGTGTTACTTACTGGGTTGGCAGGCAGCACACTTGGCCAAATTACAGGAGAAAAAATACCATACTCCAATCCAACAATCACTGCAGCAACAGTTGCTTCTGCTCTGTAGAAATCTCCTGAAAACAAGTCAAGCATGAGTGAAATATGTAATTACAGAGGAGAAAGGGCAATTTTTTCCTCGTATTTTTGCAAATCTACCACTAAGGGTTGCATGGGGATGGGGTGAAGACTGCAGATATTGAGACAAAAACAAGAGCAGAAGGAAAGAACTGAAACTTCAAATCTCCCAAGAAACGAAGAACAGAACTGTGAACAGTACTAGAAAACTCACACTAAGTTTGAGCTTAGCTGTCCTGGTCAACCCAGCCTAAAGATATGGCAATCATAATATTTAATCAGCCTTGTCAACTACTTATATGCTCTTAGCCTCATTGTAGGTAGTTAACAGCCAAGTCTTAAATGAGGAAATCATCAACAAACTCTAAACTGCAAAACAGCAGGGGGACGGTGAGATCACCTTAAGAAACTGGGGCCAGGATACTAGGTTAAGGATGGGATAAGGCACAGTCTATACTTTGTTCGGAGCTGTGCTTTATAACCAGGTTGAGCTGTGATGTTCTCAGAAGGGCTGGGCACTTCAGCCATGCTTAACTCGCTTTTGCCTCCTAACAACTCATATTTCAGTCAGGGATTATAACAAGCATTATGGGACGACTTCCACTTGGAGGATGCGAAGGAGTCACAACCTTGTAGTTCCACTCTGTCGTCTTCGAGACTGGACAGGACAAGAGGATGACAAGGGTGACAAGACAAGGTGGAGGAGAAGGGGCTGCCCAGTCCCGCCAATGTCCAGGTGAGGCGCCCCCAGCGCCAGGGGTGACACCCCCACCCTGTCTGGGGCCCCGAGGCAGCCCCCTCCCCAGGGCCCGGCTATCCCCCGCCCTTAGGCCCGCGCCACAACCGCCTCCAGCCACAAAGAGCCACTTACCCCGCCCACCTCCACCATCAGCACTCCCGGACTTCCCCCTAGGCGACTGCGTCACCACCAAGCCGAGAGCAAAGAGCAGTCTTTCCTGACTTCCGGAGGAAGCGGAAGCGACGCCGGAAGTGGAAGGGCGGGCCAAAGGAGGCGCGGTCTCCTAAGCTCATGGCGGGGCTGGTGCTGGGACCCGGCTGGATGGTGCGGCCTTGGGGTGGCCAGCTTTGCCCTTTCTTGTGGCGTGGACTCGGGCTTTGGAGTCCGGCGGAGAGGCCTGCAAGAGTCTTGCTGATGCAGTTCTGCGCGCGGCGGGCCTCCGGGCTCGCTGGCAGCCGCCTAGGAAGTCAGCCCTTCAGCACCGGGCTGCCACCACCTCCCGGGTCCCCAGACCCCAAGTCGAAGAACCGCAGAGACCCCACGCGCCCTTCGAAGGCCGGGGTGAGTGTACACCTGGGGCCTTCCCAGTGCGTCGTCGCTATCACAAGCCCGGTGGCCTTTCCTTGCTGTTTGGTCATAACCTCGGAAGCTACTCGGCCTGGCCTGAAGGTGCCCTCTACCTTGCCTGCTTACCTGGATCTTGGAATCTCGTCCGTGTTTCTGGGTTTGCCCGTTGTCCCAGTTCTCAAGAGACAACGTGGTTAGATACTCGGGCTTGGGTTTTAACTTTTGTGCCAAGGAAATACAGTAAATTCCAGGTTTTCTTATGGGTGTCAACCTTACGTGTACCATAATTGAAGAGTTAACACTTTGTCATTTCTGTCACTGAATCTGCCATCAGAGGTTCCATGTATTGAAACAAAGTGGATCTGAGTTGCGTGTATGCTTTTTTTTTTGTGGTTTTTTTTCTCAGCTTCTAGTTCTGACCGAAAAGAACTTAGAGCCACTACCCTCTAGTGATGATAGGTAAGGGAAGTGGGTTTTCCAAGGTGAAAGAAGGTTAGTGAGTTAGGAACTCATTTTTGGAAGTTGAAAGTGCAGTGAAGTAACTCATGCAGTTTACAAGAAGTCACACTGTTAGATATCTTTCGTACTTTGGCTATTAACTTCTGGAAACCAGAGCTCACATTTTTATTTGGTTTATATGCCCAGAATCAACATAAACTTGTAGTTAATTGGTTTTTAAATCAACAGTTGGAGCCAGGGTCATACATAGTGGTAATCATGGTGCTAAAGTTTCTTTGAGTTGATTTTTTTCTGTATGAACAAAAACTAACTTGGATAAAGGAGAATGATGGAGGGGATGAGTCTAAGTAATATATTTGGTGCATTATAAAAACTTTTGTAAATGCCACAGTGTGCCCCTACCCAGCACAATAAAAATAAATATTTGTTTTATTTATTTAAAGAGAAAAAAGAAACTAACTTGAGGAATTTTCCCCCTGGATATGAGTGCCTTTGTAATTGTATCTGGAGCCCAGATATAACTGCATTCACAGTCAACATTTTCTTATATCAAAGTAAACAGAGACATTTTGCATATGTAACACAATCATTGCCTGTGTATATGAATATAAAAAACTCCCATGATAAATTTAGCATGGTTAAATGTTTATGTTTTGCTAGTATTTTTATTTTTGAATCTCTGCCCCAGTAGCCTGTTTCCTGGAAGTCATTAGCATTCACATTTGCCATTGGAGGAGCTTTATTGGCTGGAATGAAGTACTACAAGAAAGAGAAGACAGAGAGTAAGTAGATACCTGGTTCAGTCCGAATAAAATCCTTCCTGACTGGACGAGCACGTTTGCTGTTTTTAAACTTTATTTTATTTATTTTGGAACAATTTTATATTTACAGAAGAGTTGCAAAGATGGCATACAAAGTTCCCAATATACCTTTCACCTGGTTTCCCCTTATTTTAACATTTTATATAATCATGGCATATTTATCAAAAACTAAGAAACTTTCAACCATTAAGAAAGAAATTATATTTTTTGCAGGAAAATGGATGAAATTGGAGATTATCTTGTCAAAGTAAGCCAGACTCAGAAAGACAAGCATTCCATGTTGGAATTGGGGTGGGGGTGAAAGAAAATAAAAGTGAGACTATTTGGGATATGTTCCATAATACCTCATCATCTCCAAATACTTTATTGTGTAATTCCTACATACAACGACATTCTTTGACACAGTCATAATATAACTGTCGTGTTACTACTGTTGAATTTTAAGACAATCTCAAGTTGAGTCTTGAAGTTTTGCTGTTCCATTCCTTTTAAAGCAAGAGGATCCAGTTCAGAATCACATGTTCCTAGTTGGATCTTCAGTCTCCTTCAGTTTGTAACAGTTTCTTAGACTTTACCTAACTTTCATGACTTGACAGCTTTGAAGATTATACGCCAGTTAACTTGTAAAATGTCCCTTAGTTTGGGTTTGTCTGATGTTCACGCATGATTATATTCAGGTCATGCAATCTTTGGCAGGAATATCACAGAAGTGATGCTATATACTCATTGCATTTGGTCAGGTGCCTTGTGGTTTAACTTTGTTCCACTACTGATAATATTCAGTTAGAGCATTTGATTAAGATGAGCTGTCAGGCTTCTGTCCTGAAAAGTAATGTGTGTTTGTATATGAGTGTATATATATATGTGTATACACATATAATACACATGTAAATACATATAATACATACCGTTTTGTGTATTTGTTTATGCTGTTTTCATCAAACTCAATTTATTCATTTATGACAGTGTGGGCTCATGCTTTCCTGTATATTCAGTGAGTTATGATCCATTATTCTCTGCATTTTGATGTTCAGAGTGTCCTAGATTAGCTTTGACATATCTCCAGTGTCCTTTTGACTGGACTACTCTCTCAGAGTTCTAGGCTGGCCCTGCATGGTAGGTAACTCATGCCTGTAATTTCCAACCTGTAATCCCAACTACTCCAGAGGATTGAGGTTCTAGGCCAGCCAGGCAAAAAGTTAGCAAGACCTCATCTCAACACAAGAGTCTATCTGACAAATAGCTAAAGCAAAAAGGGCTGGGGGAGTGACTACAGTGGTAGTGTGCCAGCCTAGCAAGTACACGGCTCCCGAGTTCAAATCCCCGTACCACTGAAAAAAACAAAAAAAGGTCCCAGTCTCATCTTGTACTTTCTTTGCCTCAGCCCTGTATCAGCCATTTCTCCATTGACCTTTTTCCTTTTTTTAATCAATCCCCATGCGTACTTAAGGTTCGTCACACTGAAATCGCCCCATGCACCTGCCTCCTCAGCACATTCCTGATGCCCTCACCCCACTTGGGCTCAGACATCTGCTCTACGCCTCATGACTTAGGACTAAATTATTCCTGGAGAGGAACAACTTTCTTATAGTGCTTACTATATTACCATAGTATTTAATTAGATTTTATTTCATGCTTGTTTTTCTGAAAAGATTTTTGTTAGCTTCTTGAAAACTTAAAACTATTGCTTCCACATTTTATCTCCTCCCGCCCCCCATTATTAGTATAGTGCTGACCATATGTCATGTATTTGAGTTCCTCTGGTTAGAATGACTTTTGTTGTGTATGTGTCTCTTTAAGATCTGGAGAAGGAACGGCAGCGAAGCATTGGAAAGCCTTTACTTGGGGGACCATTTTCTCTTACAACTCATATTGGAGAGCCCAAAACTGACAAAGACTACCTGGGTCAGTGGGTATTGATTTATTTTGGTTTTACCCACTGCCCTGATATCTGCCCAGAAGAACTAGAAAAAATGATTCAAGTCGTGGATGAAATAGGTAAGAAAGCCACCAGTAACTACACTGTTCATACAACTTAATGTTACTTCTTTTTTCACATTCCTGTGGTATATCAGGTGGGGTGTTGTAATTTATTAGTCTTAGCATTCAGCTTGTTTGTTGCTTTGGTTTCTCTGCCCTTATTCTCTACCAAAGGAAGCTTGTTTTGTCACTGATGTTAGATCACTTTAAAATGTCAGTGTTACCTGGATCTCCCTTTATGTAGCTTTCCCATTGCCTTCTCCCCCATGACTTAGGGTTAGATTTGAAAATCTGGAGTGATCTGTAGTGTGTGTCATTTTATTAGTGCCAATTAGAGGAAAAGGCACCTCTTTCTTAAATTGTTTGGGAATATTCAGTTCTTATGAATAATTTACCTTGATCTTGAGATATGGTAGGAAAAACACTACAAATGTTAATTGGACTAGGAAATTAGATAGCCACATAATGAGAACAGGATAACAACATTTACTTACCAACCCAGGTATTTGATAGGATATTTATTGGGTTCTACCACAAATAACATCCCACCCCCTGTCTGTCCTCTCAGCTCTAATGTTAACTGTCCTAGTGACTTTCCTGTCATTGCTGGTTTTCTTTGTCTTTTCCCTTACAGCATCAATGTGGACTAATTGGAACTTTCTTTCAGATAGTATTCCATCTCTGCCAAATTTAACTCCACTTTTCATCACCATTGACCCAGAGAGGGACACCAAAGAAGCCATCGCAAATTATGTGAAAGGTATGTTTTATTGATACTTTACATCTATTTAGCTCTTGCCAATCTCTAGGGGATTTTTTTGTTGTTGTTTTTTGTTTTTTTGATGAATACTACGGTAATATAGTAAGCACTATAAGAAAGTTGTGTGTGTGGGGGTTGTTTTGTGACAAGGTCCCACCATGTGGCCCAGGTTGGCCTGGAACTCACTGTGTAGGTTATGGAGACCTCAGCCTTCCAGGTGCTGAGATTCTAGGCAAGCACCATCACACCCAGCTCCTTTCAGCTTTTAAAATATCAACTCATTTGAACCTTGTAATGCCTTGTGGAATAGACAGAACAAATTACAGACCAATAAAAAAATGATCCTCAGACTAGTGACTGTGGCTCATCAATAAATATGTGAGAAGCAGGTTTCTCACTTCCTGGTACAGCATTCTTTTTACTTTATTACTGGGAAGGGTTTGAACTTGGCCTTCGTACATCACCTTGAACTGAGAGTAAGGACACATCGCTTCTAATTCAGCTCTGTACCTCTTTTTCTTTTTTTGTAAAATTAGGAGAAACATGACAGTATGTACATTAGGAGATTGAAGACCATTTTTAACTCATAGCACATTATAAAACATTTACTGTGGCAAAAACATCTTTATAACTAAGAGTTTCTCTTCAAATATTTCAACATGCAGATTAAAATTTATAAGGCAATTTAAGGGCTGTAAATTACAGTAGAATTGAGGCAAATGCTTCTAATACATTTGTGAGTTTGGGCAAGTTGTTTAGTTTCTGTGGTCTCAAACTACTTCAATATTGGTGCTTGAAAAATCAGAAGTGATTTAATTACTGATCCAGAAGTACTAATGAGTAGTTATAATGTTTACTATATGACACATTTGAATTTATATCCTCTAAAACATTGAGGTTATTAAAAAAATTGTGAAGGATCTGCTGTATATGTTGTTATTTTTAAGATTTATTGAGATATAATTGACATAAAGTGTGCATATTTAAAGTGTACAGTTGGTTACCTTTTGACATGTGTACACCTATGGAAACCATCTCCAGTCAAGAAAATGAGCATCTTGAGACTAGGAATGCAGCTCAGTGGTAAAGTGCACGCCGTGTTCCAGGGCCTGAGTTCAATCTCTAGCACTTGAAGGAAGACAAAGAATAGAAAATAAACATCTATGTCACCCCCACAGTTTTTCTTGTATCTTTTTAGTCCTAACTCCCAATCTACTTCTCTACCTCCATTCTCCAGTTAGTCATTAAATTGCTTTTTTGTCAACGTAAAATGGTTTATATTTTCTTCAAGTTTATATAAATGGAATTTTACAATAAGTACTTTTTAAATGACTTTCTTCAACATGATTACTTTGAAATTCATCTATGTTGTGATATGTGTCATAAATTTTTGTTGCTAAGTAGTAGTGGATATTTTGAATTTTTTCATTTGGTTCTGTTCTAAGTAAAAACATTCATGTACAAACTTTTGTGTGGACACATGCTTTCCACCTACATGTGGAATAACTGGATCATATGGTATGTGTTTCTCCTTTTAAGAAAACAAACTTTTCCAGAATGGTTGTACAGTTTTATACTGTGAATACCTGAGAGTTTCCACTCCTCCACATCCCCACCACACTTTGTAGGGATGGTCTTTTTAATTGTAGCCACTCTAAAAAGTCTTGGTATCTCATTGTAGTTTTAATATGCATTCCTGTAATGACTTAATGTTTGCATTTTTTATACTCGTATTTACCATCTGTGTGTCTTTAATGACGTGTCTATTCACTTTTTTTGCCTATTTTTATGAGTTTATTTTTGTATATATTATTAGTTATATTCTGGATATAAGTTCTTTAGTGGGTATTTATTTACAAATATTTTGTCCCAGTCTGTGGCTTTTTGTTTTAGTCTTTTCACAGTGTCTTTTTGAGAAATGGCTTTTCATTTTAAGTCCAGATGTTTTCTTTCTCGTCCTCCCTTCCTCCCTTCCGTCCTCTTCCTTTCTTCCTTCTTTACTCCTTCCCTCCCTCCATCCCTCTTTTCCTTCCTTCTGTACTCAGGTTTGTACTCAGGGCTTTGCCCTTACTAGGCAAGTTCTCTACCACTTGAGACACCTCCAGTCCAGTTTTTTTCTTTCATGCATTGTGCTTTTTGTTTACTATATAAGAACTCTTTGACTAACCCAAGGTTGCAAAAGTTTACATTTTATTCTTATGGTTTATTGCTTTAATTTTATATATTTAAGCAGAATTTGTGTTCATAATTTGCATGTTGGTCAAAAATTTGGGAAATAGCATAGTTTTTCCTAAAGCAATACAAATCAGCTATTTATAAATGACCTCATTGGGTAATAGACAATCTTCAGTTTATACTTACATTGGCAATTGTTTTTATCATATATTAAGTAAGTCATAATATCCCTAAATGAGTAGACATCTGAGTTGCTGTCCTAACTGAAATACTAAAACCTTAGGTTAATTTTGTTCAACAGCACACACATGCATTACCAGTTGCATCTTGAAGGCAAAGTTACTATTTAGGAAAATACAAGTTTGGATATGCAGCTAACTCAGTCTTCATTCACCTTTCTTAATTTACTCAAAGTAAATAATAAAAAAAGAAGCCCTCTGTTTTTTCACTAGTTGAATAACTTCCCAACTTAGAATGAACTAGTCCAAGGAACAAAAACAAGCTTTTTTACTTTTAGAAGAAGATACTGTCATTAAATGTCAAGGTACCATTTCAGTAATCTGATGAATCCAGTTGTTCTAAGTGATTTTCACTATTATATAAACTCTAAAAATTTAACAGTGCATACAATTATCTTTGAAGTTTATCCCGATTGCCTTTTTGGAATGATGAGTATTGATTGTTCAGCTCTTTGTTAGAAGTTAAGAGTAGAACCTAATATTGTATTGAGACTATTTGCTAGAAAGTAAGGTGCAGGTATTTTGATGTACTATGATCTTCATTGTGATGCAAAGTGTTCTTATGTAGTAAAAAAGCTGTAGTACTTAATTCTTGATATATCACACTATATGTGTTTTTAAACTAATTTAAAAACTTAGAATCTATTGTCTCCAGGTCTTTACCAGATAATTGTAAAAGAATTAACTTACAAAGGAAAACTTTCATTTGTTCTGTGTGAATTTGTTATCCTTTGGTGAAAAATGTTCAGGGCCTCACAGGAAAAAAAGTGGCAATAGTGGTGCTTTATAACTTTTTTTTTAAAACTAGAAATAGTTATTTTGCTTGATTCTCATTTTCTGCTATTTTTTCTTTTTTTAATTTTAGAATTTTCCCCCAAGCTGGTTGGCTTGACTGGCACAAAAGAAGAGATTGATCAAGTGGCCAGAGCATTTAGAGTGTATTATAGTCCTGGCCCCAAGGATGAAGATGAGGACTACATAGTAAGTAAACACTCACCTTTTAACCCATGGCTGGCTCCTGGATCCCAGACACTCATACATTTTAGATGATTGGCTTCTGAAATGAAATAAAACCTTAAATTACTGCAAATTCCTTGGGAATTTTGGATGTTTGAAAGAATAACAGAATTACATTATTTTAAGGTGATTGTTTATATTCACTGGCCTCATCATTTGATTGCCTGTCTTTCTTTAGTGTCATATAAACTAAGGTAGTATAAAACAGATACTAAGTTGTTCCAACAGTACCATATTGGAAATAAAGAGGGGTCATCTTGTGGGGGCAAGCTTAGTTTAGTTTTAGTTTATAAACATTGTATTGATTCTCTCTGTGTCCTCAATGAACAGGTGTAAAAAATAAAGTTCCTTTTAGAAGCAGTTTTTAATCATGGGGGATTGTGTTTTTATGCTGAATAAGAATTCAGAAAAGCAAGAGAAAAGATGAAAGCTATCAGAAGGTACTTTCTGTAAAGTTTATTTTCATATCAGTTATACGATTTGCATGATTTGGTTTAATATATGCTTTTTAATAATGGGGAACAGAAGTTCTATTGTCATTTTCTAGCTCCTGCATTAAAGCTTTTAACTTTTGCCAGTGCTGCCCAGAAAACTTAACTTAATGCCCATTTGTGTCCATCTTCTCAGTAGTTTTATGGGGATAAAGCACAAAGGGCATAAGCTCTGTCCCTAACTACTCAGTTTTCTTTCAGTGGACATTTTTTTCCTATCACATTAAGAGTTGACATTACCTTGTATTATTACAGATTTTTTTTCACTTGTCATACTCTGGTTTTTCTATAATAGTTAGGCATTGTGATTAATATCAGAGGCGTTCTAACTATAGAGCTGGTTTAATTGAAAGAAAGATGACTTGGCTCTTGAATCACTATTCACCTCCCCATGGACTGCCCTGTGACAGTGTACAAGGGAACATCTCACTGTTGTGCTTTGTTCTACCACCCGCTGTGGTTTCTACATCACTTTTGAGCCTGGAGCATATTGTGGGCTCCTATAGCTTATAGCCTGAATTGAAAGCAGTCTTGGTCTCTCTGCCTTAATTAAGCTAACACAGTAATCATGCCTTTCTAGGTCTGGTGTCTCAGAGCATTAGAGAACCTTGAATTCATGGGAAAAAAGGACAAGAGAAAAATAAGTATTTTTCCTTAAGCCCTAAGTTTAAGGAAAGAGGATAGACCCTCCTGTTTTTTCTCTTGCTGCACTGTCCAAGAGAGAAGACCATGGAAAGAGAAGGACTTTTCAAACTTTTAAACTTTTTGTACATAGATTAACTGGTTTTGAGTTTTAACTGACTGTAGCAGGGGGAGCAGTGGTGCCAGTCAGTCTGAATTCCAACTTTAAAAAAGTTTTATTAAAGTGTACATGTATTCAATCCTAAATGAGCTAACACTTCTTAGACTTGTGCTTATGGCTCATAACTGTAAAGTTAATAAGAAACTTTACAAAATGAAACCAAACTATGGAAGAATGAGGTTTGGGTCAGACTGCTGTCACGTGTCCAACTGTCCTATCAGCTGCCCTCCACAGTTTTCTGTTTACAATACCTTGAAGCCTTTGATTGTGTTAGTCTTCCTTGGCTGACTGGTCTTGATGTAGCAAGACTATCATTTTCATGTCTGCCTATAGTCAATAGTGTACACCTAGAGGCCAATGAGATCATAAACAAACCAAAAACAGGTTTGGGCCCTGAAATTTGTATTCAAATGCTGGTAATCCAGAATAAGTATATTTTTCAACTTTAAAATGCAAATATGTAAGTCTCATCAAGACTTCTTTGACCCTCTAGAATGCATCCTACATCCTATTCTGGTCTGGTCTAAGAATCAGTGAGTTCATTACTGTATGTTTGCTAGATCAACCAATAGGGGGAGACACTCTCCAGCGTCTCAGGTTTTCATTAGTGTGACTTGCATACCTTGAGACCACAGATTTTTGTGCACAAGATGGTATGGAAAATGTCTCTTAAGATTTAAAGACCTGCAAGGAGTAAGGGGATCCCTTAAAGATTAACCTTGAGTTGTAACAGAATGACATTTTCATAGTCTCAGAAAACAGCAACAAAAAGTAAACTTTTGGCTTTTGTATGGAATCTTCTGACTGATAGCATATGCAAACTGAGCATTCCACATATCTGGGATTCCTTAGAATGTTAAATCTGTACATTGTTGTATTCTGCCTGCAGAATTCCATTATCTTGAAGGTATTAGTTAGGAAGTACTTTTTTAAAATAAATAAATAAAAACAAAACCAAATGGCTTTCAAACCTATGAAAAAATGTTCAGCTTCATAATAAATGTGAATTGTTTAATGGGATGCCATTTTTCACCTGTTAGTTAGTAGTTTGAAGTCTAGAAATTTGAAAATATATTGTCAAAATTGGGAAAGCAGGAAATACACTGCAGGAGTGAATTTGGAACAACAGGCACTTTCCTGCATTATTAGCAGGAACTGAACTGATACACTCTTCAGAGGGCCGTTTGGCAGTGTTTATCAACATCTAAAGAAAAAGGACTGAAAAAACCAAACAACTTTCTTTTTGTATTTATTTTTGTGGTTCTGGGATTTGAACTCAGGGCCTACAACCTGAGCCACTCCACCAGCTTTTTTGTGATGGGTTTTTTCTAGTTAGGGTCTCGTGAACTGTTTGCCTGGACTGGCTTCAAACTGCGATCCTCCTGATCTTTGCCTCCTGAGTAGCTAGGACTACAGGTGTATGCCACTGTCACCCAGCCAAAGAACCATTTTTTAAAAGCTAACTATATCCGTACTGATACAGAACAATGACCTATATGTTGTTAAAAAATGAGAAAACAAGTATGGTGTATTGTTACTGGTTCATAAAAACAAACAAGTGGCAACAGATATAGATACAATAGTAAATGCAGAGAATGTCTGAATAATACAGAAGGACCTAATGGGAGTAGTTCCCACTTAGAAGAACTGAATCCACAATAGGAGAAGACTTGCAGTGTGCAAATTTGCTGGATTTTTAAAAAAATGTGTATTACCTTTTCACACAAACATGTACATTAAAAAACTTGAGCTTCCATCCTCCAGTGGCATTAGAGGTAATGGCAACATGGTGAAAAGATCGTGTACTTTGAAATTGGACAAATGCTAGGTTTTAAGGTCAGATCTTGCACTCAGTAATTATCTCACTTCCCCTTCCCAGACTGTTGCATCCTGTGTAGAGGAAGATACCTGTCTCAGGGGCTAAGATGACATGTGAAAGAATGCTTCAGTAATTGCTAGTTTCATTGTACACTAGGAACTATTAGAACTTTAAAGAATTCTGTATTAGACGAGATCGGGCGCGTTCAGGGTGGTATGGCCATAGACAAGAATTCTGTATTAGAATAAACGTTCATTTGCTCTAGCTACAACTCAAATGAATATTGAGACATGACCACTAACAAGTTTGATAGGTACGGATGGAGTGTTTTATTATGTACTAGAAAGTAATTTATATATTTGAATACTCCAAAACTAAGTCCAACGTACTGCAATTCTGTTTTCTAAGGGAGAGAGAATAGAGGAAAGAAGAATGGAAGAAATGGAGAAAAGAGAGGTATAAGCTACAGAATAAGACTGGAGGGAAGAATTGGAGAATTAATCCTGATTTCTCTGTTAAATGTGTGGAGAAATAGCAAGCCCCTATCTGACTCTTGAAGTAAATTCTCCACAACACATGAAGTCACCAGCTGTCTAAGCTCTTGGTGGCATTTTTCCTTATGGGACCACCAAATGGCTCTTTCCAGTTGCTATCTCCTTATGAATGTGTGTATAAAAAAAAATAATAACCTCACAGACATGAAATGTGTGTTGGAGTATTTAGGGGAGTGTCTCCAGTTTGGTATGTGCGATCACATTCCTGTCTTCCCAAATAGCAATCAAGTCTACAATAAATTCCAAGGACTTACCGTGCCAAATCTGCTCTTTTACAGTTGAATTTTATGAAGCGACTGGCTAAAAAGATTGATGACTAATCTAAATTTAAATTGGAGCTGGGAACGTTTTAAGAACTTTGTCAGGAAAATAGATGATGAATTGAAGAGGGCTTTCTCGGGTTTTGCCAATTCCAATTTCCAGGTGATTTGCTTCAGATAGGATTGTTCAGTGTAGCACATAGAAATTTCCTATGGGAGAAAAACATGTCTTCCAGTTTTTATTTGAATTACTAATATCAGGACTAAATATGTATTAGGATTTGTAGATTGTATAATTAAACTAGTGGTTAGTTTTCTGGCTTCTCATAAAGCATGGTAAGCACAATTTAGGCAGCAATGAATGAGAACTACTCTTCCTAAAACATAAAGGAGTGTGTCTGAGAACCTACTAAGAAAAGTAATTATTTATTTATTTTTCAGTGCCAAGGTTTGAACTCAGGGCCTCATGCTTGCTTGGCAGGCGCTCTACCACTCATATACCTTGCCCTGCTTTTTTAACTGTTTTTCAGCTGGGATCTGAAGTTTTACCCCAACTGACTTCAAACCACAGTACTTCTACCTATAGCCTCCTATGTGGTTGGGATAACGTGCATGTATTACTATACCTGTCATTGATTTCAGTGGGGTCTCACTAACTTTTTCCCTGGGTTGCTCTCAAGCCATGATCCTGACGATTTCTGCCTCCCAAGTAGCTGGGATTACAGGTGTGAGCCACTACCACCGACCTGAGGAAAATAATTTCTTTTTGCCAACACTTTAATTACTTGTGACTCTCTGTATAATACAGAGAAGGAGGCAATTGGGATACTTTCACTCAAAAATGTGAGGTGTTTTCAAACAAGCATTGCCATTCAGTGGGCATTGACTGTTCTATGAAAGCCCACACAACCATTTCTTAGAAGGTGGGTCCATTTCTCAGAAATTCTGAATGTTAAGGATTGAACCAAAAGAATTCTAAGTTCTAGCTGGTGTTATGAGCAGTACCACTGCAGATTTCTGGAGCACAAAAGATTTTAAATGGTTTGTTGCTGTGGCTTTCCCATAACAGGCTTAGACCCATTCTATAAATAATACATGCCACAAGGGGTAAGCATTAATGCAAAACTCTCTTACCCTACAGCATTTATCAGTGAAATAAGTGGCTTATTTTGGTAATCCTTTTTTACATACTCTGCCCCTCCTTTTCTCTGCAGGTGGATCATACAATAATAATGTACTTGATTGGACCAGATGGTGAGTTTCTAGATTATTATGGCCAGAACAAGAGGAATGCAGAAATCGCTGGCTCCATTGCTGCACACATGAGAACCCACATGAAAAAGAGGTAGCCAGAGCCATGCTTCTTGGATACAGTTTCTCTTGCTAAAGAGGAATGAAGCTTTTGTCTCCCATGGGAGCAGTATATACATGCAACCGCCATTGGCCTTGGTACCACAAGAACATCTATATTTTAGATGGGGTGGGTGTTCCCCTTGGTTTCAGTCAAGACTCTTGGAACTGTGAAGACTACAAGACAGAGTCTCCCAAGTAGTCACCCTGAGTCCAGAGACCAGGTTTAGTGGAGCCATTGGCGAGTGGATCTCACAGAATGGCCAGCAGGGAGGCACGCTGTAGCATCTCCTTGAGAACAAGGCCTTTGGAGCAGCATCGCTGCCTCTCCAGTGTCTTGGACCCTTGCTCATAGGCCATGGGGCTGAGTTTTATAGAAAAGTGCAATTTCTTTTGCTCTTGCTTTGCTCATCTTGAGTGCTTGGTGCCTAGTAATAGCCAAGATAGGCTCTCTGACATTCAAAGTTGATCTTTTTATCTGAAAGCAAAAGTTTAATCTTCCTTGTAAATTACACTGTCAGATTTGCATTTCATTTCACCATCAGCAAATTGTGATTTGAGTAGGGAAGAGGGAAAAATCTATTTGGGAAAAATAACTGTTAGTTTTCATTCCTGTAGGAGTTTTTGTGTGTGTTTGTGTCTGTATTTTTTTAATAGCTAAATGATTTGCCATGTTTTCAGTGATACACCAAGTGGAAATAAGAGGATTTTAATCATGTGTGTGATGCAGAACATTTTTCTGTGTGTACCAGATTGTGCTGTATATAAAATAAAGGTGTATTCAGTTTCACAACTTGGATGATCATGACTTTTCCCTTTGGTGAAGAGTAGGTGCGTAGGTGCCAGCTCACAGCTTTCAGGATAGAAACCCAGACCTGTAGACTCATGGGTGGGTAGGCAGGTGCTTGTTAACATATAGACTCCTGGGCCAGAACTGATCTCGCGGAATCTGCAGTAGGATGTAGAGACCTGCATTCCTAACAGACATCCCTGGTGACACAAATACTGGTGATCTGAGAACCACACTTAGTAAAATGGTGTTTCATGGCAAAATAGTAATAGCTTGAGCCATCCTTTGGTGTGTCAGTTATTCAAGAAAATGGTGTTGACTGATGGAATAAATTTTTTAACTTACCTGGTATGTGGACCTAGCTATCACTTTTTCCACTTTAAGCTGATGCCCTAGGGCCAAGTTCTCTAGAAATTTTTTAGTAAATGCTAAAATGCTACAGGTATAATGCCTGGTTGGAAAATAAATTATTTATACACATCAATTACATTTTTACATGCAAATGATACTTTAAACTCCCTTAATATTTAACATTAAGCCTAAAGTAAGTATTTATATCAGTGAAAGAAAAAGAAAACTATAGCTATTAAAGGTTTGAATCATGTCCACAATTCATACATCCAAGCCCTAACCCCATTATTTCAGAATGTGACTGTACTGAGAAGTAATGTCTTTAAAGAGGTAGTTAAATTGAAATGAGGCCATTAGGGTAAGCTCTCCCTAAACTAGCATTTCTAGTGTCCTTAAAAGAATAGGAGATTAGGACACAGAAGACCATGTGGAAACACAGAGGATGTCCATCTGTGAGCCTCGGGAAGAAATCTAGAAGAAACCAACCCTGCTGACACCTTGATCTTGAACTTCCAAGCTCCAGGATTGTAAAGAAAGACACAACATCCGTTGTTTAAACCACTCGGTCTGTGGTATTTTGTTAAGGGTAACCCTGCAAACCAAATATAATAGCCTGTTCCTTAATAAACAATTACAAGATTTAGTTCACCTCACAAGTAGTTGGTTTGAAATGACTTTCTCTGGGAACTTACCAAGACAGTGAGAAACTTCCTAAAGGACTGGCCTCATGTAATAGGAGAGATAGATACTGGGTATCTGAAATGCCAAACATTTAAAAAGATAGACCATCTTTTTAAAGCCTGGAACCATTTGTGTGGATTACTTTGCAGCAAGCATGCTCTTAGATAAAATGTAGTCTTCATTCCCAGCTGTTGCAGGTTGGAGCCTGTGTAATGATCCAAAAAAGGAACAGCAGCTTTTGGAGAAAACTCTCCTCTTCATTCCAGGGTCAGATGTAAAAGCTTAGAGTCAGGATGATAGAAGCAGGGAAGGGGATCTTAGAGATATCTCCCTTTTTATGCATGAAGGAACACTCCCAGATTATTAAGGTATAAAACTTGGCTCTCAATTTCTGTTCTGATCCCTGCTTGTTCCATGGCTGTGGCATGCCTGTGGTGACCACATGAATCGAACCAAATCTGCCTGTACCACGTGCCAGCTGGGCAACCTCTGATTGCGCATCTTGGGGAATCAAAGGCAAGGCTGCCTTTCAACTGAGTCTGACTTGCAGATCTTTGAGTAGTCTAGGGTGTTTTCACTGGGCTCTTCAATGGAATTAATATTTTAAGAAACGTTATTTGTTTATTGGAAAACAGTCCTGTCAATACAGTAGGCATGAAAATACTGAGTGCATGTGGCTGTTCATGAGGCAGCTGATCTCTTGGATGTAACAACTGCGATTTGCTAAATACCAGTAAACAAAGTTAAAGGAAATTAAAGTTTTGGCCATAATCTCCCAAACAAATACCTTCTTTTTTTATATATAACACCGTGTGTGTGTGCGCCTGCTGCCTGTAAAAGAACACACGCAAGCATTTTCCATCCATTTAGTTTATACGTTTTATTAGTAGTTTTGAGCTACATTACTCTAGTGACATGGGTGGTTATTCCTATTATGAAGTGCAAGTAATAACCTCTTTAGTCATGTCTTCCTTAATGACACCTTTTAAACTTAGGTTATTTTCTGCTTATTTTTAAAATGTATTAAGGGAGCATTCATTCTTTTGTAATTATACCACACAAAGTTTGGAATATACAGGTAAGTTTAAGAAAGATTTAAATCACCATTATTCCACTACCAAGAAACAATATTTGAATGCATCTCCTTTCAATCTTCAGCTTTTTAAAATTAATTATTTATTGTATCAGAAATTTGCAGGTATATTCCTTTAAAAATAATTAGACCTGATGGTGATCTTGGCCAGGAGTGTTGGCTCACATCTGTAATCCCAAAGCCAGATAGATGAGGGAAAATGAGGCATGGAAAATAGCAGCCAGAAATTCAGATAAAAACACTGTTAATAAATAACTTGATTAAAAGCACACAGGCACTAATTTCTTTGCTTTAATCCTGACATTCAGTAAACTACAGCATTTAGTTTTTAAGTAGGGAAAACAGCTCTTTCCTTCTGACCTTGCCTGATTACCCTTATAATTAGTGCAGTCTGGGAGGAAGTGAGTGAGGCTATCTTAAAGAAATGTAGGTGGGGGGGTGGACAAACAATAAACAGCTAGGGAAAAATGACTCCTCTGGTCCCAAAGTTTTTACAAAGAAAAAAATCTCAGATGGATACCTGTCTTAAAGTGAGTATCTTGCAGAACCCATCCTTTGTTTAAAGGGATATTCAAACATCTATGTTATGATGTTCCAAATTTGATAAGCAGACCAGCCCTGAAACCTTGGACCCAATTGATAAGACTGTGAAACAAACAAACAAAAGTTTAAATGTACCAGGTGTTGAGAATATTATCCTAATGCAAATTTGAGCCAAACCCCCAGCCCACTTTTTTCACCTTGGTGTTAAAGCATTCATGGCACCTGTTCCCACATGTGCCTGCACCCATGTCCAGATTGTATACTATCTTTGCTTTTATTTTACAAGTAGACTTTCTTGGCCTCTATCTCAATTGTCCCAATACACACCGACTCTTTACTGAATGGCCAGTTGAAGACCTCCTCCCTGGAGCCTCATTGAGTCTGGTAACAATCTCAGCTACTTTGGAGGTGGAAATTGGTGGAATCAAGACTCAAGATCAGCTGGGCAAAAGTGAGACCCTCATCTAAAAAAAGCTGGGTGTGGTGGGTGTACACCCCTCACTTCAGTTACATGAGGATCACTGTCCAGGCCAGAGGAGAAAAATGGGAAACCATACCTGAAAATTAGATAAAGCAAAAAGGGTTGGGGGCATGGCTCAAATGGTAGAGCAGCTGCCTAGCATGCCCGAGGCCTTAAGTTCAAATCCCAGTACCACACAAAAAAAGTTAGACCTGACAGATCAAGCTGAAGTCTCTTGTCTCCCCATCCTAGGCCCCTCCTGGGAGGTAACTGCAGTTTGTGTTGGGAAGGTTATCTTCTCAGAGCATTTAGAATCCACTTACACTGCTTCCAGGCTCAAGTTTTAATTCAAAGACTTGGTAAAAAGTGTTACTACTATCACACACAGATACTGCTCAGTTTTTATTATTAAATTTGGTAAGCATTGAAGGTAGCTCACAAAAGCTCCTCCTCTTTTTGCCAAGGCTAGGCAGTGAGTTAGAGAAAGTGGCTTGCAAGGTAAATTTTGTGGCCCCTCACCCCAGCACTCACATGAACCCATTAAATGGTGCTAGTGTTTCAGGGGTGCTGCTGGATAAACTTCAACCATTCTCTGAGAATGGCCATGGAAAGCTGAGAAACAGCGATGGACAAAGGTGGCAGGACCACGGTGATGGTGAGTGACTGCTGCTTTCCTAACAGGTCATGTGTAGGCTTCTCCCCTGTGGGTGGTAGGCATACCACGTCCACACACAGCCTGCTGTCCTCTCAGGGATTCAGTGTCCTGAAACCAACGTGGCTCCTGACAGCCTTGGCCAAGCGAACATCTCTAAGCCCCATTTATCTTATCCATGAATTGAGAATATTGATAGATGTGCTTCACAGGGTTGGTGTGAGAGTCAAAGGAAGCCACATAGAGGAACAACAACATGTGCTAGCAGCGATGGCTGCCCGCCCTTTTGATGAGGGTGGTGATTTGGGGCTTGCTTTACAGAGGCTGTGTAGCAAGAGGGTTCAGTTAATGATGGCTGGTTACAGTGTGTTTTACCCTTCCTCCCCATCAGCATTCCACTTCAGCCTTCCCTGTGCTGACTTCAGATGGTCTACCACATCTGCACCCCAGCCCCACACATCTTTTTAAGCATAAAACTGTTGATCTCATTTCAATGAAATATTCACACCTTTCTTAAAGAGCACTAGAATTTAGAAAAAAAAATCTGGTTGAAAAAAAATAAAAACTGTTCTTCTGATTTAAACTCAACACTTTGGGCCTTTTGCTGTTATTATGGAGATACTTGGGCTTCTTACACAGTAAGAGTAAGCAGTGGTGACTGGACTCTTCCCTAGTAGGCACTGTGGCCTCATGAAACTACCTGGTTTCCAAGCAACTCTTAAGATTACTGAGGAAGGTAATTCTCAAAAGACTTTAGTTTGCTTGCTTGCTTGCTTGCTTGAGACAGGGTCTCCCTATGTATGAGGCTGGTCTTGAACTCACAACCACACCTGACTTCAGAGTTTTTAAATGTGATTCATCAGGACAGTAGACTGTCGGGAGGGCTGCTGCCTTAGAACATAGACCTAGCCACGCTCAGATTGTGATCAGTTCTATCAAGCATTTCTGATTCTAGTTATCTCTGTGAGATAAGGGCCCTAATGCCGTCTCTCACTGCTCAGATTTTCCTGGGGCCTTGTCTCCTGTTCTGGGTTTGGTTAATTTAATTCTCCACGTATCTCTGTCTATACTCATTGGCTCACAACTTAGTGCTTAGCTTTCTCCAGTGGGTTAAGAACAGAGGTTCTGAGTAAGTTTTCCTTCTCATCCCCAGAGTAAGCAGTCTGGAGACTAGCTTTGCTTAGCAGCTGTCATATCCATGTTTTCGGTGA